GCCCTTCGGTGCATCCCCGCTCAGATCTCAAGATGGTTTTAGCTCAACTTGTGCCATTACAGAAAGAACATATCAGACTGGTCCCACCCATACGGGTAGTCCAGATCCGAAATATCAGCAAGTTCCCTCTACACGAGAGATACAGCAACCCTAGACGATCGATTCAACCTTGTGAGGTATAGACAATATCCCTAGGCACCGTGGGCAAGGGATCCACTTCTGGATTGCCCTTTAAACGTAAGGAGAGAAAAACAAGTAGCAACAACAACTTGCTGGCATTTCGGATCTGGACTGCTCGTACGGGTGGGACCAGTCTCATATACTTCAGATTAGATATGTACCAAAATGAAAATTCTGGGCCGAAATCGAAAATAAGGATGCCCTTGGCCGTAAACCGAAAATTACATTATTTTTTTTTCCCCAAATGATTTTAAAGTTTGTTTATTTTAATTTTTTCCTATAATTTTATTAATTAGACTTTTTAATGAATTTAATTAATCTAATATGAAAAACTTCCCTTCCCTTTTAGTCGTCCCCCCCCTTAATGTTCCTCTATCCCACCTCTAGTGTTCCTCTTCTCTCGCTCTTTTTTAGTGTTCTTTTACCCTGTCCTCTCCTGTCCCGTAGTGTTCTTTTACCCTGTCCTCTCCTGTCCAGTAGTGTTCTTTTCTCCCTTCTCCTGTCCAGTAGTGTTCTTTTCTCCCCTCTCCTGTCCCATAGTGTTCTTTTCTCCCCTCTCCTGTCCCGTAGTGTTCTTTTCTCCCCTCTCCTGTCCCGTAGTGTTCTTTTCTCCCCTCTCCTGTCCCGTAGTGTTATTTTCTCCCCTTCCCTGTCCTGTAGTGTGTTGGGTTTTTGTTTTTTTTCCTTTTTTTCCCTTCACTAGTTCCATAGTGTTCTTTTCCTCCTTCCCCTGTCCCAAGTGCAATAAAAAGTATCTAAAAAATGTTTTTATATATATTTTTTTTAAATTTTGGCAAATTTCACACGTTTTGGCCGTAATGGGATAGGCCTATTTTCGGCCGACCATTTCGGCAGCAGAAATTTATGTGCATCCCTACTTCAGATATGTTCTCTCTGTAATGGCACAAGATGAGCTAAAACCAGCTTGAGATCTGAGCGGGGACCCACTAAAGGGCAGGCTAATTGAGCTGTTGTTCGTTTTTACCGTTGGTTTTTCTCTCTATAAATATAAACATAGATATTTGTGTCATTTTCTTGTGATGATTTGCATGTTGACACAGGCAAGTTTCCATAATGACTACCATATGCATGTGCAGCAGCCCTTCCTACTATTATTCCATGTGTAACACACAAACAATAGGTGGAGCAAGTTACTTTGTAACTGTAAAGATAGAGAGGTACATAATAGTGCAGATATCTTAGAATAGAATAGGCAGCAGAGATGAAAATCCTTTCCAAAATAAATTTATTGGTAAATACACAGGATAAAATATTATATGGAATAGTAATAAAAAGTCTACTAATGTCCAGATTAGTGCAAAAACGCGTTTCGCCGAAAAGTGGCTTCCTCGGTTGGCATATTATTCCATGTGTGTTCAGAGATCCACAAGTATTCAATTAACCCCTTAAGGACGGTGGGCATTCTATGCCGTCCTTGGGGATCCGGTCCTAAATGCCGGCGGGTGGCGTAGAAAGTCCCCGCCGTCCTATTCACTTACCTGGTCACCGGCGATCCCATGCCAGCGATCACGGTGGGGGAATCACCTGGCATCCCAGGGAGTCATCCTGCATCCGATCCGGCCCTCTGTTTGTTCGGCTATTTCCGTGTCCGTACAGCTCGTTATTCCCCGTTTTACCGAATGAACTGCCGAACGGCCGGCCACCCAGCATGGAAGTGTGCTGCTTGTTAACCTCTTGGCCTCATTAGAACGTTGTGGTTAACCGCAGACACTTCCTAATTGTCAAATGTTGGTTGTGTGGTCAAGATGGTCGCCATCACGTGTTCGTTCATACGAACGATGACCACCCAACCAACATTTGACAATTAGGAAGTGTCTGCGGTAGGGGCTGTACAAACACGGAAATAGCCGAACAAACAGACGAACCAAGAGGAAATAAAAGTAGTTTAAAGACAGAGAGGTCTGTCACATTGATATAGAAAGTATTACACAAAAAGTCATGTTAGCCCTTTTGGCATAGTCAGAGTATGTAATAATAGGGCTTCTAACAGACTAGTAGCCAGCTTTTATAGCTAGAATATGACGTTCTCTCCCAAGGAAAAGTCATTCTTTAGTGTTTGATACTAAAACAGGGGTTATGTAACCTGTAAATTCAATAAGAACTTGATCTGCATTGTTTTGTGTAACCCTGTTATAGAGCTTGCATGCATGATATAAAGCGCCAATCAGCATGTATTAAAATCTTGGGGAAAATGGTTTGCATGTTTTCTCCTTACTCTGCCATTTTTGAATAAATATATACTGCAACAGATTGGTAGCCCAGTACCTTGACCACTATTACCCTTGTTGTCGATCATTTTGCAAAGGGCTCTGGTCCAACTAGTTATGCTTTTCCTGTATGTTTCACTAATCGTACATGTCTCATTTGGTAATCCATTCACAAATAGCACTGCAAGGCTGACATTATTATTAGATTCCAGATCTGTGCTAAGACACTATACTTCCCTGTGGCATGCACGCAGTCAAATTAATGGACAAATCAAAAAGTCTGAGCCTCCCATGAATACTGTTTGAACTATTTGAATATATGAGAGGAGAGCATTGGGAGTAAAATTTGCTTTTTGGTGGCCACAATGTGTTTTGTTTTTTTTTGTTTTGTTTTTCTGGCTGCATGAAATCATTATGTCTGTGTGTACATGTTAAGTTTAATGTTTGTTTTATTTTTAAGTTGTATTGTCTAGTGACGAAGAAGACAATGCCAGTACTGGAAGTACAAACCGTATTGAGAGCATCTCTCCGAGACCTGCTGATTCAGCTTGTTCCTCTCCTGCTCCGTCATCTGGGAAAGTAGAGGCAGCACTGAAGGAAAATAGTTTCCTTTTGGAGCATACATTTTCTAATACCCCATCTGTACCTGAGCCTAGCATCATAATACCGAGAAAAGCAAAAATGAAAGACGAGGTAACATATGCAATGATAGTTGTGCAATTACAGAAATATATTTTTCATGGCTGCATTTTCTACGAAAAGGAGTATCTTGAAATGTTCACCTCCTCAAAAATGGATATAGAGATCTTAAAGAGACCATATAGTCACCAAACCAAATTTAGCTTAATGAAGTAGTTTCTTTGTGCAGATCATGCCTGAAGTTTCACTGCTCAATTTACTGCCATTTAGGAGTTAAATCACTTTTGTTTCTGTTTATGCAGCCCTGACCATACATGCAGATAAGTGTACCTACGGCTGCATAAACAAAGTGATTAAACTCCTAAATGACAGAGAATTGAGACTACATGATGTATACACTATGATTGCTTCATTAAGCTAAAGTTGTTTTGGTGGCTATAGTGTCCCTTTAACTGAAGATCACTTATACACCACCTCAAAATGCCTCCTTGGAAGAGGTGCATGCACAGTCAGCCATCTTCAAAATTATTTGAGCAGCAACCTATAATACCTAGTGTGTATTGTTATATTTAGAAGATATTGAAAGTTGATGCATTATTGGGAGTTGGACAGGTGCACATGTAAAATATAATTGTCAATAATGACACCATATTGTAATTCTTTACAATAGAACTTTCTTTGAATTGAATTGTCTATACAGTGCAGCAATGTAGTGTTTTCCCATTACTGGGTGCTTTAAGACATTTTCTCAACTTATTCATACTTTTAAAAAATATATTATTAAATGTTAAACCAACATAAAACTCTTCTCTTTTTAGCCTTTTACCACATAATTATTATGAACTTAATTTTACTATTCCTTAATCTAATATACATCTTTAAACCTATAGCTTGCAGCTAGAAAAAAACTTTTCAAATTGATTTGTGAGAAGTGAATCCCTTTTCTGACTTTTTTGTGCATATAAAGGTTTTTTCCCTTTTGGCTGATTATTTTTTTTATTTATTTTTTTTATTGGCTAGATTCATTTTTTTTAAATATCCTAATGCACATGTACATTAAATGTTACTAAATAGCAGACCCCCTCCATCACCTACCGGGGTCTCTTATACTGTTCTATGGGGCTTGATTTTATCCTATAAAAAGTACAAAGTCACGTAGATCCAGATATACTTGTGCATTGATGCTTTCAGCTGCTACAGGCGAATTAAATGCCTTTTATTAACTACGGCCAAGCAAGTAGACCTGGGTTTTACCTGTGTGATAAACTACTTAAAATTTTTTATAAACCATGTCACTAGACTGAAGGAATAATATAAAAATAAAGGTACTTACACTGCCTCTACGCTAACGTTTCATGTTTTTTCTTTCCTCGTAGTTTGGCAATTCGGTCACAGAAATATCTGTTAAACGACGCAAATATTCACCATTAGAGATTCAGTGTGAGTCAACGCCAGTAACTTGTGAAAGTTTTATCCTGCGCTGCCGAAATGTACGAATAGGAACATTTTGCAGTGTTGTGGAAGAGCCTGTAGTGGTAGGTCCAAATTTTTTTTATTTTTTTTTTTTATTTACAATTATATTGGTATCTTTCTTTACTGTTGGTTAAAGGTGAACTATTTTTTTGTGGTTTACATTAAAGCATTTAGATACTATAATTGTATTAAACGTGTGTGAGAAGCTGAACCAGAATTAGACGTCATGTATTTACGTGTTTCTTCTCTTGTCTATTCCCCTTGCTTCAACCCCTTTGGTTCCTAATACCCATTTAATAAAGGGGAGCGGGAGCATTTTTTTTATTTATTTGTGTGTATATTTTATTTACAGTTCTAGGACATTTTGACTATTACATTTGCATACATTTTTAAACCATTTAATTTTTTTTACAGTTCTGTCTTGACTTCATAAAGATACGTCTGGAAGGTAGGGAATATTTTTGTGTATGATTGTAAACTAGATTTATGGTGGATGTTGCTTGGGTTCATTTTCAAAACCATAGAGGCACAGGCTATTGTCTTCTGCAAACAATTTTATCTATAGACCGTGCAAGATTAAATGAACAGAAATTACTAGTTTTCAGAACTAGTGAGAAATGCACTAAGCCTATGCCCTCAGCTGAACACTTTATATAGATGATGTTACGCTTCCTCGTTTGCCATTCAAATATTAATGGGACATGAGCTCAAATTACTGTATGTGCCATACAATAAATATCCAATATCTGGTACTCGTATGCTGCATGTGTATAGAAGAGGAAAGTCTGTATTCACTTTTAATAGTCTGGGAATGTAGAATAAAGCTAAAATCTGATGTCATTAAGAATCATTAAAAATTTAAGATAGAAATGTTGCAAATTGCATGAAATAAAACTGTCTTCTACACTTTTACCTATAGAGGCTTAAAGGACCACTATAGTGCCAGGAAAACATACTCGTTTTCCTGGCACTATAGTGCCCTGAGGGTGCCCCCACCCTCAGGGTCCCCCTCCCGCCCAGCTCTGGAAGGGGGAAAGGGGTTTAAACTTACCTTTTTCCAGCGCTGGGCGGAGAGCTCTCTGCCTCCGATCCGCCCCGCCGGCTGAATGCGCCGCGCGGCAAAACTGCGCGCGCATTCAGCCGATCTCATAAGAAAGCATTTACAATGCTTTCCTATGGACGCTAGCGTGCTCTCACTGTAATCACAGTGAGAAGCACCTAGGCCTCTAGTGGCTGTCAATGAGACAGCCACTAGAGGATTAGGGAAGGCTTAACCCATTCATAATTATAGCAGTTTCTCTGAAACTGCTATAATTATGAAAAAATGGGTTAACCCTAGAAGGACCTGGCACCCAGACCACTTCATTAAGCTGAAGTGGTCTGGGTGCCTAGAGTGGTCCTTTAATCATAAGCAGCCATTTGCCTAACATTCTGGGATTATTGAAAGTGAATAACAATTTAACATTATATGCCTGTTAGATGCAAGTGAAAAATATATATAGATGGCTGATAATCTACAGAAACAAACACAACACAATAGTATAATACTGTAAATAAACGTTGAAACTGCGCAAATATAAGTGGAACTCACAAGATGTAGATGGCAAAATCGTCTTAGGGTGCCTCCCCTTAGGTATATGGGGGGTATATCCAGAACTCCATCTCAGCTGGTTGATGGTATCGCCACAATATGGAAGTCCAGACTCAGGAAATGATTAAAAATAATCTGCTTTATTTTATATGTATGAAAGATATAAAAAAACAAATATGGTCCAACATGTTTCGTCTGACAAAAGACTTCTTCAGGGACTCAATAATAAAAACAAATTGTATAATGATTCTACTCACCAGAACAAATTCAATAAGCTGTAGTTGTTCTGGTGACTATAATGTCCCTTTAAATACATTATATGCTCGATGTATTTTTTCAAGCAATACTTTTTGCACTTATTTTGAGCCCTGTAGGCTTCCTTACTATGAACCTATGTTTTCATCAAAATTGGACTGCTATTGCGCATTACCGAAGGTGGAATGCAAAATGGCTGCCATTTGGAACGCATATGCCACCCGGAAGTGACATCACACGGATCGGATACCCGCAAAAATCATTTGAAGAATCCCTTGAAACAGCTGGACATTGTTGTTTGTTTCTGTAGATTATCAGCTATACTCCTCTGCTTTACACACTGGGCTTTACACACTCTGTTGCTTTTCCGTCACACATTGTTATGTAATGGGCAAATGCAAATATTACAAGTTTTAGAATGAAATGTTGTATTTCGCAAACTGACAAGGTGTTAGAAATGGAACATATTGTTTTTCATAACTGCTTCTTTAAGCAATAACCTCAGTGCATAATATGTTTGCGCCATTTTGTCCCAGACGAATTACAATAACAATAATGCATAAACAAGCTTCAAGGCTATACTACAACTCTTTCAGTACACAATATACTGTGGTAACCCCAAGTTAATGGAACTTGCCCAAATCCGGGAATCTCCCACGACTGTGCACTTACGTCTTAGTATAAACAGTTAAGCTATTCAGACTTTAAGATGCCATCTTGAACTAAGTCAGGAAAATTTCCATGACGTATACACCCTTTAGTTATGACCTTGTATGTTTGCCAGGAGAGACTTGGAGACAGACGCTGCTCCATCTTAAAATGACAGAGAGGCTGACATGACCTGTTCAGAAGGGTATGTTAACCTATTAATGATATTTGCAAGCATTTAGTTTAATCTTATAAACTCTGCTATAATGGATTTTATATGTCTATGTTTATATTTTTATATAATAAATAAAAGACAAAACTAATGCTTCCAAGACAATCCTTATTTTATATTGTATTCTCAATTATTTATATATGTTAAATAGAGGATATCTTACACTAACTATATAAAATAATAAATACTTAGGTAACCTCTTATACGTAAGATAAGACACAATACTTTGTCATGGCACAAGTCTTGAAATATCAAGCATCTATTGAGCTATTTGTAGCCCAGACTCAGAGAGCGATCTTCATCATGGAGAGATGATTTTAATGTGAACTTGTACAAGGCACTTTAAGTTCAGGTGCCAGGTACATTGTAATTAGCATACAATGCTGAAAGTTTGTGGATCTTCTCATAAGAGAACAAATATACATAAATGATCCCTAATATGCCTAATAAACCAGCACAGCATGGCCCATTAGTTCCAGGACAGTGGATTGCAGGCAGGGGGATATGTTCTCTTTGTAGCTGCTTAGTATGCATGCGCAGGAAAAAGATTAATGCAAAATGTTGTCAAAAGAAAAGTGATTAGACAGAGCGATGAAATTTGAAGTCTAATTCCAAGAATGCAAAGAAAATTGCATTCTGGCTTAATGAAAACATGCAACAGACAGGATTTTTAATTATTGCATTACTGCGTTCTGGATTCTAATGTCCACTATATATATGAAAAGGTATGAAAAGTTTTATAAAACAGTGATAATTTCCATATTCCATATTGTCAGTTAAAAAGTTGAAATTCAGGAATTATAACAGCATAACTATTTTTGGAGTCTGGAGTTTCCAGCCAAGGTTGCGGAGATAGGAGACATGTAAACATTCCAAGGAATTGAGAAGTTGTTTTATATTCCAAATTATGAACAACATTATTACATACAGTCATAAAGAGAAAGAATGGCTTTTAAATACATTGAGTGCAGTACACTGCAGCATATATTTTATTTACTATATGCTAACTAGCTCATATTTTTTCCTAAACAGAGTTGAAAATATACTACCCTCCTAGAAAAAAGGGCAACAGGTGGTTATACATCCTTTGCTTCTCTAAATGCTCTGCAAAAATAAATATTTATAAAATGATTAAAAATAATATATATATATATATATATATATATATATATATATATATATATTAAGATAAATCAGGTCAAAATAAAATTGTAAATATATAGGATCTCTGATAACTTTTTTAAAATGAAATTATTAAAGGCTTATTTAAATAAAATGTTAAATACGTTTACAGCTTTAAATGTGACCAAAAGATACTAAATTATATTTTAAGCAGCCAGCCCAATTCACTAGAATAGCATAAGTATTCTACTATTTAAGTGCACAATTCCTGCACATAATGACTTTGCTTACTCAGGTACAGTCTTTAGTCTATTGCAATGGCAGGATTAAAGTCCACCAATTTTAAAAGGGAAAGCTTGCTTAAATCATTGGTACTATCCCACTGTACCTGTAGTGCTAGCAGTAAGGAAATTGGAACAATGATATTGTACTACTGACTGTAATCGGATTAGACACATGTAATTTCAGTGAATTTCATAAACTAGGTTTTCATAAAATATAAAATAAAATTAAATATCAAAGTTGTTTATATATAAATATATCAATGTTTATAAATAAATGTATGTAGACTAGACAATAAGAGCATTTACATGCAGTCAGCAGCCTGCTCTCTCAGAACCAGAAACGGATTTGTAAAAAATTAAAAATAAAAAGTCCACAGTCAACCATACATGAAGGGTGAAATAATTGCTTCTTTAAAAGCTATATGCTGCCGCAATTATGTATATAAATACCGATTAGGGCACAGAGTAGAAATAAAAATAGTTTTAAATCTCACATGGGGATTCAGTTCCACCACATATTCTACAATTCTGAAAGAGGCTAATTTTAATATGTTGTAAGAGCATTGTGAATGAATATATATATTGCAAAATTAATTTGATATTGCAAAGCCTGCAATATTCTAAACAGACATTAAAAAAATAATAATAATGCTTTAAAAAAAAAAAAAGGTGTCAAATAAACTGATAATGCTCTGATATATTAAATCACATTGCATATCACATATCTGCTATATGAAAAGTATAATTAAAGTGACATTACTGTCCAATGCCCCCTCACATCTATTTTATAGAATCTATACTTTTTAGTGGTCACCTCCAAAGAAGCTTCGGAAACCTTGGGGGCTCATCCCAAAAGGAATCAGATTCCAGACTTAAAGAAAAATAAATGATATAAAAGGAATCACGGAAACACCCGGAACATGCATTTTTGTATCTAATCTTAATTTGCAAATATATATGTTAAATAGAGGATCTCTTACACTAACTATATAGAATTATGGCTAAGATATCTTTATGGTTAGCCCTACTAAGTTCTATGCTTTAAGACATTATAGTGGTAAATAAGGGAACCAGCCGCGGTTACAGTTAGATGCAAGTGCCAGAAAGCTTTAAATTGTTTCCAATATAAGAATATTTAAAGGGACACTGTATGCACCATAACTGCATCATTTCATTGAATTTCTTAGAACGTCTGTGGTCCCCTGGCTCTGTCCTTCCATTCAGCAATAATCTGTTTGTAATGTATTAATGCTAAACAAGAATTTCCAGCAGCATATCCCTTCAGTGGTGTTTCAGGTAAGGAGAAAGCATTAGCCTAAACAGCAATAGGCGACCATGAATGGTTGAGAGTGTCAGCTGACTGCAATCTTCCCATTACGTTACCATTGCAGACAAGTATGCAATCGCTGTCTTTGCCATACCTCCAGTGCAGCGGTATGGGAATCTTCATTCAGTGTTAAACTGTTAAAAATAATTTTAACACTGACTGAAGGGACCGTGCCAGGAGTCTCCAGGCACTATAATCATTTCAATGAGTGAAGCACTTTAAGTGCCAGCATTGTCCCTTCAAGATAGAAACTTATTACGGTGTATTTGTTTCTTATGCTAAAACATATGCTACACCTCAAAAACCAGTTGGACTCTGGTGTTCAAGGTTATTTATTACTTAAAATATATTTTTCATTTTATTTTTGTGATTTTATTTTAAGGGCTGCACAGGGTAGAATGAACAGATGTTGAAAAGTAGTGAGAGCGTTTTTGTCCAAATATTTATACAAAATAAGCACGCAGTTTCTTAGAAAATAAACCTCTTTTGAATTCTGGGATTTTTCAAGCCCAAATCGGTTGGGAGGAGTTGTTTTTTTTCATGTGATCACCTATGCAATTTCTAATATTATGTATTTTTTTTTTCTTTCATAGCTCTTCCTGGTGCTGCAGAAGGGCAGGAAATACATTTAAAAGCATCAGATCTTACTAAAAGTGAATGGTGCAGTGCTCGGAAACTCCCTGTAGTATTTTTTCAAACTATTCCTGCTACTTGTCAAAGTTTGCGATCCCATCTCAAAATGAGTAGAGATAATGGCATTGGATGGTATGATTGTAGATCTCCAAGTAAGTTGATTTATTAATATTAAAAACATTGCCTGCATTGTTTTATCTTTTGCATCATATTGCATACTAATGTATTTTATTATTTTTTACAATTTCTAAACCGTACTATTGTGAGTTGTGTAAACTTGCAGAGATCTGAATATTATTGTGGTAGAGAGAGACTTATGTTTTTTGTCTTTTACTTCATATTCTCTCTCTAAATTAGCCATGGCCTGCACCATTTAAATATTTTGTCGTGTGGTATGCTGTGCAATCTCAAATAGCTTAAAGAGACACTATAGTCAGCAAAACAACTTTAGCTTAATGAAGCAGTTTTGGTGTATATATCATGCCCCTACGGTCTCACTGTTCAATTCCCTGCCATTTAAGAGTTAAATCAATTTTTTTTTTTTTAATTTTTTTTTTTATATAGCCCTAGGCATACCTCCATGCATGTGACTTACACAGCCTTCCAAATCACTTCCTGTAAAGAGTCTTCTAATGTTTATACTTCCTATATTGCAAATTCTGTTTAATTTAGAACTTATCTCCTTCCCTGCTAATAACTTGCCAGACCCTACAGGAGTCTCCTGTGTGTATTTAAAAGTTTAATTTACAGAGCAGGAGATCAAAACTTTTAAAGTAAGTTACATTTTGTTTCCATGCAGTGTGGGTCATTCACAGACAGGGAAGGTGTGACTAGTGATTTAACTCTGCAGTGCAACTTCATCGGCATGATCTACACACAGAAACTGCTTCATTAAGCTAAAGTTGTTTTGGTGACTATAGTGTCCCTTTCAAATGTTAGGAGAGTTTACTGATGCATTGACATTTAATAAGTAAAGTGACTGTATTTGATCTAGTTTATGTTGGCCTGCAAAAGTTCAGGACAAATAACCAATAATGGCAAGTATTTCATTCTGACTGACTGCTTAATCTAAAAAATGTTAGTATATTTAAATCAGACCTGTCACCTGAAATTTTCATTAAAATCTATTTCTTTGTAGATCACTTTAAAACAATATAATTAATATTATTAGCATTTACATTGCATCACCATATCACGGCGCATTACAATTATAAAATGGTAATATTTGACAAATAATTTTCATACAGAATATAACAAACTAGAGGTAAAGTAGGCCCTGCTCAGACAAGCTTACCATCTATGACAGATAAATCCTATTGTATTTTAATCAAGCTGTAGTATGTTAAGCTGTAAATGCCACGTTATCTAACAAAATTTAATATCAATTTTTTTTTCCCCTGGTGTATAGTGGTAGTACATTTAGGGATGTTCTGCATCAGAATAAAGAAACATAGGTGGAGAAAAAGTAAAACTGTCTATAACGATTTCCTATAAAATGAGACCGAATAGGGAGACAAAAGTGTAGATGTACCAATATATGTATATGGATAAATATTTAACAACTGTAGTTCGTAACACTCACAAAACTGTTGCCAGTTAAAACATTTGGCTCAAGTGTATGAGACCGTAGAATTTGTAAGAGTAATCCTGATCCCTCTTCTATGCAGTAGTCTGCAGCTTTGGCAGATACTATAGGAGTAAGGAAAAGGTCCATTGTGTAATTGTGTATTTTGCTTACCATGGGACAACTTGCCACCATCTAAAAATTAAAACAATTTGGTTATCCTGCCACCTTGTACCTTAAGGGTCCCCCTGTGTCCTGCAGGTCATTTCTTTCTTGCCGGATGGTAGCTTCAAGATATTGCAGGATGGAGGGATAGGCACGGGATGCTATGGTAAATTAGCTCCCTGGTTGATGACATGAGAGCCAGCCATGTTCTCTGGAATTTTACAATGTGTTATAATGTGCATGATGTAGGTGCATCCAGTGTTTGAGGCAGTCCTGCTATCTCTACTTCCATTGGCAGGTAAGGGAGCCCTGCGCACATTATTGGAATGCAAATCTTGATTGTGTTTGCATTCCGAGCGTATTACTGCATGCGCAATAGGAAACGCAGTGTTTTACTCAAAATGTAAACATTTTAAAGATATTTCAGGATGTAACCGACTCACAAGTGTGCATTTCAGTTCAGGTTTTCCTTTGTCATCAGCCCTCCTCAATAGTGATGTCCCGAACGGTTCGCCACGGACTCCTCATTGAGTAAACTTTGACCCTGTACCTCACAGTCAGCAGACACATTCCAGCCAATCAGCAGCAGACCCTCCCACCTCCTGGACAGCTCACTAAGAATGCAGCTTCACAATGGATGCTGTACAGGAGGGGGGAGGGTCTGGGAGGGAGGGTCTGCTGCTGATTGGCTGGAATGTGTCTGCTGACTGTGAGGTACAGAGTCAAAGTTTACTCAATGATGAGCCCGCGGGAACCGTTCCGCGAACCGTTCCGCGAACTGTTCCGCACATCATTACTCCTCAATAGTCCAAAGTTATTCTAAGGTTAAAGAAACATTCATTAGCTTTAGATTTATCTTATAGATGTCTGGTCCGGTTTCATCTGATAAGGACCCAATGGATAAGGTTCCACCTCATCCTGCGACCAGACTAAAAGCTACGTGAATTACACAAATCTAAACACCTGTCTGGCGCTTAATGTGCTAATCCATTACGGGATGGATGCAAAAAGAAGTTATGTAACCATAGCTCTTCTGAGGCTTTAGAAAAATCCAAAGAAAAAGAGATGCATTCCTTTTTGAACCGGTTTCAGGAAAATTTGGCGCAGACATTCAAAGATTTTAATGAATCTACGGTCACGACTACAGTGCATTCAAGTAGGTAGGAAAAATCTGTGAGGGGAAAAAGAGACATAGGTTAACATCTCCTTAGGATTTATCAAGAGTGTTCTCATATCTTTGAATCTTCTGTTTTGAAGCAAGGAATCAGAATCTTTCCAGTAGAAGAAATAAGTACGTTCATGAAAAAAGTTTGCCAGGTTATAAATGACTGTGATTCAGATAAAAAGAAGGGGGAAATGATTTCCTTTACGCGCAAAGTTCTTCAGCTTTTTGAATTGGGAATGGATGAATCCTGAGAAGAGGGTTTAATTTCATAGCAACTTAAAATTTGATTTAGGTTACAGGATTGGGAATCCTGGGAAGATCTACTTAAGGTAGATGTGCCAGTGTCTCAGATGTCCAAAAAGACTATACTACCAATTGGAGAGGTAGCTGGTCTTAGAGACACCATGAATAAAAGAGCGGAGACATCTTGCAGATGTAAATTTAGTAAGCTGCTTATCAAAGTCAACCCATCATTACTGGAGCAGCAATCGCCAGAGCTCAGAATGTGTGGCTTCAAGCTCTAGAAGATTGCTTATTAGGAGTTCAGCCGGGTTACAAATCAAGGGATAAGAACATCAAACCAGACAAACGTCTCAAACTATGATACAGGTTTAAGTTAGAATTAAAGCATTCAGTCACCCAATGGATGCAAAATACAATAAAGCACGGTTACAGAATAAAATTCATATGAAAACCATTCTCCCAATTTCTACATTCCATGTATGTTTCTCCAGTCAAGAATTATACTACCCTTATAGCATGTCTAGAAGAAAAGAAAAAAAAGAGCGTAATAGAACAGTTGCCAAAAAGGATGTTTTATCAGGGCATTTACCACAGGCTCTTCCTGGTTCAAATGCCAGGCAAGACTTTTTTTGACCAATCCTAGACTTTAAACACATGAACAAATGTACCCAATAGCAATGGTTAAAGGGACACTATAGTCACCAGAACAACTACAGCTTATTGAATTTGTTCTGGTGAATAGAATCATTACCTTCAGGCTTTTTGCTGTAAACATTGTCTTTTCGGAGAAAATGCAGTGTTTACATTACAGCCTAGTGATAACTTCACTGGCCACTCCTCAGATGGCTGTAGAAGATCCTTCCTGGGTCATGGCTGCCTAAAATGCATCCAAACATTCAATGTCTCCTCCCTCTGCATGCAGACACTGAACTTTCCTCATAGAGATTCATTGATTCAATTCATCTCTATGAGGAGATGCTGATTGACCAGGGCTGTGTTTGAATTGTGCTGGCTCTGCCCCTCATCTGCCTCCTTGTCAGTCTCAGCCAAGCCTATGGGGAAGCATTGTGATTGGATCAGGCTACCCCTTCTGATATCAGCAGACAGCTTGTTTTTCTGAGGCAAACAGCATTTAGATCTAAAGCTTCAGGCTTGAATACAGTAAGATTTTACTATATTTATGGTGGCATGAGGGGCCCAAGGGAGCTTGATGGTGGTTTTAACACTAAAGGGTCAGGAATACATGTTTGTGTTTCTGTCCCTATAGTGATCCTTTAAGGATGTAGACCATCATATATGAGCGATACATCCTGCAAAAAGGAGATTTCATAGCCACGCTAAATCTTCATGAAGCCTACCTGCATGTTCCTATGGCAAGATAATTCCTAAGGTTTGCTATGAGGCCATAAAAACTGCTAATCCACTATTAGTTCATGCCTATTCCATTCGGTCTTTCCACTGCTCTAAGAACTTTCACAAAATTTCTCCTAGCTATATTTCACTTTGGATTGCAAGATTTGGCTTAGGATATTTTGATACAATTCAGATTCTTTAAGGCAATCTGGAAGTTATGTCCTCCAAGAATATATTGGGTTTACTATCTTTTATCAGGATAAAATGGCTTCTACATCCAAAACAATCTATTTTAGCTATGGTTCTCAGCAAGGCCAATTTAGGCAAGTCCATTGTCGTACCATCGCTATAATAGTCGCCGTCTCTTCCAAAAGAAGGGCTGCATCAATTTGATGTTAAAAGAGCTTTAGAAGTTTATATACGAAGATACACCATTTTTAGGAATTCAGATAATCTTTTTTTTATTTATATTGCGGGTTTTTACAAAGGCAAAGAAACATCTAAGCCGTCTATTGCTCGCTGGCTTAAGGACACTATCAGTATGGCATACAATATAAAAGATAAAGCTTCCAACGGGCATAATAGCTTGTTTTACCAGTGCTATGGCTACTTCTTGGGCCGAAAAGGTGATGGCATCACTTGAAGACATTTGCAGGGCAGCAACATGGACTTATTTCAACACTTTCATCTATTACAGGCCAGACTTATTTCTTTGGCTGAAGCATTTTTCCAGTGTAAGGTGTTACTAGTTGTAGTTACGTGATCGGACTCTCCCTTCTGTTTTATTCTCATATCCCTAATGTACTGTTGCTATAGGACAGTAAAAAACTAAATTTTACTTAACTGTAAATTATTTTTTTTTCTTAGTATAGCGGCAGTACAGAATTCCCTCCCAAACTTGTAATAAATTGTCTACTTTGGCATATATTTCAGTCTGGTGTCTTTATTTCTTGCTATTACTGACTTGCAGTGGCCCTTTTAAGGTGCAAGGGGGTTGGATTCCTAAATTGTTTTAATTTTTAAGTGAGGCCACTTGTCTGGCAGTAAGCAGAACATCATAATGTACTGCTGCTATACTAAGGAAAAACACATTTCTGTATGGATTTAGGAATTACATCACTTATTTTTTCAGAATCCTTCACTAACGTATGAATTCTAGGGAATTCGAAGTGAATTCAAACTACATTTCAAATCATAGGCTTAAGCTTCAAATTAGAACATTTCTCCAAGGCAGTTAAGGTTTCTCTTCAGTAATTTTGCCTTAAATTGTAAATTCACATTAAACTTCCCACAGCTCACGCTTTATATGAAGAACTCTGAGAGCGACTGTGGTTGAGATCTTTCTTTATTGGCAGTTATTCAACCTGAGATTAAAACAAAACAAAAGCCATCAATATCCCAGCCACCCACAGTGCAAGGAAGAGTAAGTTTCCACTTGAACTCCGTGGTGTATTTTTGGTTTTGTTTTGCCATAGGCATAACTAAATTTGGGCACCTCCTAATCTAAATTTCCCTGACCCGTTCCTGATGGCACCTCTTCCTGTTTAAGACCAACATACACTTTGACTGATAAGCACATACCCTCACTGATACTAATACTGAGGTACACTTACTGACAGACACGCTGTTTAACCAACACACATGTTCACTGACTGACATATTCTTTGAATTAATCTTGCACACACTCACTGGCAGCCACACACTCACACAGACCCTTAGTGATACTGACACACTCACACACAGCTTTCTCATACAGTCACTAATTATTTTTTATTTTGATTTAAAGCCCACCCAGCCTCCCTACTACTTGGGAGAGCTGGAGTGGATTCTTTCCTACGGGTCCAGTGTGGATCCTTTCCCTTGGGTCCAATATGGCTTCTGTCATCTTCTTGCTCTCTTCCCTCACGCGCCGGGGCTGGAGTGATGTAATGTTCTGGCTCCCTCCATCACATCAGGGCACAGATTACAGCTTTCTTGCTGCCTGCCTCGATTGCACTCGGCTGTCAGCCGCCCACCTCAGGGATGCTCTTAAGATGGCCCCTCATGACACGAGTTTAACAAGGCATTTGTTATAGTTGCGTGGTCGTTTAGGAACAATGTTTTTGTTTTTGCCATGGAGTGATTCAATGAGTTCTATGGCAACACTCTGAATCTTTACCCAATGCCAACCAGAGATAGCACATGTGCTGTGCAAACCAAATAATCAGTCCACTGGATGTCCAGGCATCAACTTTTCTCCCTGCCCAATGGTAAGCTATATGGAGGGGTAACTAAACTTGTTTTTATTTTTTTTTTGTTTGTATCCCTACAACACAGACTCTGCCTCCCCCACACACATACATTACAACCCTTGTTTCCCCCTCGCACACACTGCAGCCTCCACAAGCACACTTTACTACCAAACTGTACAGCCCCTGTCATGTCACACAAAAACACACACTACAGCTCTCCACAAACACCACACCACAATCCACACAAATCTGCAACACCACAAACAGTGTCCCTACAAGCACACAATACTGCAATACTGTAAGCAGCATCTCCACAAACACGCAATATCTCATGCATCACCCCTCTCTAAACTTGGACTTCAAAGGACAAAAAAAATGGATAAAAGTTGGTACATTAGGTGGAGCAACAAGTTGCAAGGTGCAAAGGTGTGGGCCCATTGGGATGGGCTTGGTGCTTCACCTAGGGCCACGGAAATGTTAAGTCCTGTCATACACACTATGAGTTTTAGAGCCAGTATTAGTTCTTATTAATATTAATGGAGATACAGATTTTCAGATGCAGTATAACTTAACTGTTAAACTACTAACGCCAACAATTTCAACCTAAAAACATAATGTAAGCTTTTTTTTTTTTTTTTGGGTCCGCACTACTTATTAAATAGAGCAATACAATCATGAGAGACGACATTGCTTGTAAATAAAAATAAATAAGGCAGCTGTTGATATAAAATATGTGTGTGTGTGTGTGTGTGTGTGTGTATATGTATGTGTGTGTGTATATGTATAGTAATGACCTGCTATGTTTTTCATTGAATTTATACTTTAATTTTACAGAAGTCTAATGCCTCCCTTTTTTTTATTTTATTTTAGATGTAGATGAGCAGTATATTGTTTTAATCTTTGAAGATGCATTGAAACCAAAAGAAAACTCTGTTCTTGAAGATATTCTGAATGGTATTGGTATCAGGAATAACCTCTCAAAATTTCTTGTTAAAATTCAATTTGAAGAGGCCAACGGGAGGCTTGTTGCCTTCACAAAAAACAGCGAAGAAATGACGTCTGTTCAAATGGACAATCTAAACAAAAGTGTAATTTTTCATTTTATCATTTCCTTTCATTACAAATTTACATTTGTAATTAAAATATGGATCTGCTGCTCCAATATTGGTGCCTATAAAGTGATGTCTCCCTAATAAGCTAGATAAGATGTCTCAATCCATTATTCATTTACTTTTGTATTTTTTTAACCTCTTAAGGACACATGACGGAAATATTTCGTCATGATTCCCTTTTATTCCAGAAGGGGTTAAATTTGCTGGAGTTATGTTTGTTGGGGGGGGGGTAGGAGGGAGCAAACTGTTGACTAAATTGAAAGCACTCCAAATCGTTTCCTACAGGTTTTTGATTTTGAAATTATTTGTGCAATTTGTTATATATTTGTATTATAAGGGGCACTTAAACAAGGAAGAACCTCTAAACTAATGAATCTCACTCTCCTCAGTCAAATTAACCTTAGGGTACTCGAACACTTTAAGTGGATTATTCGCTAAGCAGTACATTTATAACATATTAAGGGCATTTTATTTTTATTACTGTGCTATATTTTAGAGTGCTACCTTTATTGTATCCTCCTTTTTAGGACCTGCCAGCAACAATTAGGTCTTTTCACAGTTACCTTTCACTACATTAATTACTTTGTTTACCGTGGCTATTAAAGGAGCACTATAGTGCCAGGAAAACAAACGTGTTATTAGGTGTCTTCCCCCCCCTCCCTCCCTTCAACCACTTTCCTTAATCCAGCGCTGGGCTCCCTCGGCCCTGGTGACCTCTCCTCCTCCTGCCAATGTCTGCTCCGAATGCGCATGTGTTTCCTATGGACGTCCAGCGTGTCCTCAATGCGACTTTCAAGGAGACAGTCACTAAAGGCTGGATTAACCCTGGTTTACAGCCGCGGGGTTAAAACTAGGGGGACCTGGCACCTAGACCACTTCATTGAGTTGAGGTGGTCTGGGTGCCTATAGTGGTCCTTTAACAATACTGCCTTATTGCTGACAATGTATATATTTACATCTTTACTCTTCTATGATTAACCCCCTCAAGATGTTAAGGCGTGCTATGCTGTCCTACAAAAAGAGTGCTTTAATGATGTTTGGGTGGCATAGCACTTACTAACAAACTGGCCCTTCCTACCGGCACAAATACTTATCCACCATGTCGTTTTTGACAGCCCAGATAGCCAACATGCAGCAAATCCTGCCGGTGTCATATGATTGTGGTGACACCGCAATCACATGACTCTGATCAGGTGGATTGGCTGCGGAGGGACTGCCTAGATTGTCAGTCAGGTACCCACATATAGATATACATCTATCTCTATATCTGAGTATCTGCCTGACAACATAGACAGTCCCCCTGCAACTGATCATGTCATGTGATTGCGGTGTCACTCGGATTCGCAGGATTTGCCACAGGGGGTCTATCTGGGCTGTCAGTTGGCACTGTGAGTAAGTATTCAGGTTGGAGGGAGGGCCAGTTTCTTAGGGCATTTTATTTTTTTTGCATAATAGCATAGCACGCTTTAGCATCGGGAGGCGGTTAATCGCAGGAGAGTAAAGATTTAAATATATACATTGTTTCCAAAGGCTTTATTGTTAATTAAAAAATAATACTATAATTCAAAACAGCCCAGCAGAAATACCAGATCATTTAAATTTGAAGCCTTCCTTGATGACTGACTTTGGCTCCCATTCCTCTATAAAGAATTATTATACTCCATAATTTTCTGTGGCCGATCCTGACTGTACTGCACATGCATGTGTGATATTATGGTATGAGAGCTGGGAAGTAACATTCACAGCTACCATACCCAGAGAACCTGAAAGCTTTACTTGCAAGCCTTCTGTTTAGATTCATTTTGGTATTTGGGGGGTAGTCTTAAGGAGAAAGGCGGCAGGACTGCAGGCACTATAACAAATTTGATAAGATGATAGGTGTTACAGTGCCTACAGTGTCCCTTTAAGATCTCTGGTTAGACAAATTATAAAATATATAACACAAAAAGATAATTGTATAGTGCACGCTATCTAATAAATACAGCAAAACAAATGGATTCTGATAGACAGCAACATACAAATAGGGAGTGGCTATGAGCCACTCACACATCCACAAGTCCTCATGATCTCTGGATCTTATTATAATAAAGCCAAAAACCGGTCAGTAGAACTTCTTCTGCTTCCAGAAATATTTTATTCACAAAATGCAAATATAATCATCAAACAGACCCATTGTAAAAGAAATTGCCTTGTAACACAGCATTCTTTCTAACCCATTGTGGATATAGCCAATTCAGGGTATCTGGTTTATGCTGTAATCTTTTATGGATGCACCTTAAATTAATTTGGCATCATTGCATTAAATATTTTGCACATATATTATCTTGTACACTATTAGCTCAATATTGTGCTCAATTTTACTTGCATTAGATTTTTTTTATTAAGTTTTAGTGCCCATTTTTGTGCACTATTTGTTTTGGATAATTATTTGTATGCCTTTTATATAATGGAAAAACTAAATCTCTTATGTAGAGCTGGTAGACAAATCTAAAAGGATCATATATTACAATACATTAGGGGACATGTATTGAAGTGTCCCAGAGAGTTTTGCACTTTTTTATTTTTTTTTTGGGCAAAATATATTAAACCTGCCCTTTTAATTTATTTACTATCATTCTTTCAATCCCTTTTCCCCAGAAAAAAAAAATGTAATTTCTTTTTTTCCACCACTCGTAAAGGAACACTTGGGGCCCTAGAACTCCTTCATCAAAATGAAGTTATGGTGCAAGGAAGTCTCTGGCACGGTCTTACCGTTAGGGGTTAAACAGTTCGTGAAAGGTTTAACCTAAGTCTCCACTCCAGCACCGTATGTCTCGTTCCCCTCGGCATCCGCTTAGTTTAAATCTTCAGGACAGACCTTTTTCAAGCTTTTTATATGAATGGGGAGCTACTGATTTGGCTTAGAGCATCAGTTGACTATTCAGTGGCTCCAAGCTAATCAATGGTGCCCCTGCCTAGCGGCTCTTACAGGCTTTCATTCTGTAGATATTGACAAAACGCTTGTGGAGAGGGCAGAGAGAGTCTGAGCTGTGAAGAGCTTTTGGGGTTAAACTGTTCACGAACTGTTTAACCAATAAACATAAGACTGTACCAGGGACGTCCTGGCAGCATAACAACTTTGTTTTGATGTCTGTTCCTTTAATTTCATGTTATTTTCTGAAATGGATATTCCTATGAAAAAATGCAGTCATTTAATAAGCAAAAAAACCACCACTTTTAAAAGTAATTTTAAAACCATTATTTAATAGTGTTATTTCATTTTTTGTTTCAATTAGGTTTAACAACTCCCTCACCCCCACCTTTGACATTTAAAATGTTTTAAATATTTCTGAAATAGGCTGTTTCTGAAACGCGGATGAAATTGCGTAGTGCAAATTTGCAGTTCTACACTGGTGACGAAGATGAAGTTGGAGATACACATACAGTCTTTGTCGGCCCGATAGAAAAGTAGGTTTACTTGTACATTTATTTTTTGCTATTTGTTTATCACTGTGTTTTTGTTTTTCTTTTGGTTATGCTAGAAAATCTCCACTAACACTAATAGTCCCCTTGGAAACATATATACTTAGCTGTGTGTTCCATGTGCTCAGCAAGGACAGTGGTAAATAGGGAGGGGTAGGAGACCTGGCAAGAGAAGAATATTTGTAATGTGCATTACAGAAGGCATTTGATTTTGGTGGAGTGTTGGAAAATATAATTATATCTTTATTAGTTTAAGATTCACTCCAAATGATATATTCTTTTCAGTGAAGGTGTTGTGGAGGTTGGAGTCCTTGGATGTCGTCGTCTCTCAGGGTTAAAAAGGTTTCAGACGTTTGATTCTCTGTCTATGACTAACCCCCCCCCCATTGCAAGTAACATTATATGTTTCTTTGTAACTGTACCTAAAAACTTAATTGAGATGAGTGTTCCTTGAATGAAATAGTTATTAAACATAGTTATTAAACATGCCTGTAAGCCAATGCTGAAGTAGCCTCTTCACAACAGCCTTATTTACTTCTGCTTATCATGGAGGGTTATGATTGTTGGCCAGTGTTTCTCAGAAACAGCACTGCTTTCAGCTGCTGGGGCAACAATATATATGCACCAAAAAACCCTTTTATTAAGATGAGTTGATTTTAGTTATTAAACAGTCCTATTAATATAATTGATATGAGTTTCGTGCATTAGGAAAGACATGTAGTACTGTTAAAACCTGAAGGAGCTATCGCATGCTTCATCATCTGTTTCTATCAGGAAAAGGACTACTGAAAGAAGACAACCACTAAAGACACTTCCTCCTTAAGACCTTTGATTTATTTAAGTCTTCGTGTCTGGGGTCATCATGAACAACATGATGTTGAATACTTCTAATGTTTCTCCTAGAGAAACATTAGACTCTGTGCTTCTCTTTGAAGCATTGGATTTATGAAACATGGCAATAGCAATATATCCTATGGCACCAATTCTTCTCTACAAGAATCAGTGAATTGGACAAGTGTCATCAAAACTGGAAACTTCATTGGTGGAGGAGGAGCAGCAGTAAGAAGTCTGTCCCTTTGATGGATTACAGATAATCTAGTCTTCTTTTCCTTTAACTCTTCACAAAAACATTTCACAGAAACATTTCAAATAAGAGTTAAATTATTTTGGTTTTCCTTTGAACTTCACCTAACATTTTGGTCATTTCTATTATAAATATTGTTCATAGCATACTGCTCCAATCAAATAATTCAACCCATAAAATTAGCTTCTACATTTTATTTTTTGTTTAGTTCTGGGATTATCTCCTGATCATGTAATTTATTCTCAAAATTTGCATACAACATTTATATATATTTTGTATTATTTTGAATTGGTTGTTTTTGCATATTAATATAGATATATTCTGTGCGGCACATGGTAGACTTTCATTTCCAGTCTGTAGTGTTAAGAGTGGTAGTTTAACTGGCAATGTTTTGTAGCGAAAAGATTCTTCTGTTCCTATTACAAAGGCATTTTATCTAAACTTGAAATGTCCTATTGGCATTCTCATATCTCCCTGCACTTTGGCATTCTATTTCATCAAGACAACATCTGCGATTTTTTCCGTTTTATGCTTAATAGTAGTAGAATGATTTCTGTTAACATTGATGTATATTGCTCTACTTTCTATTGCCAATATAATTAACGTTTGTCATTTATTTTCAAGATTAATCGTTTATCCACCTCCACCGGCTAAAGGTGGGATATCGGTCACCAATGAAGATCTCCATTGTCTAAATGAAGGGGAATTTTTAAATGATGTAATTATAGATTTCTACTTGAAGTAAGTTTTGTTTTTCACTATTATTGTTTTCTGAAATAAGTGCTTTAAAAAAAGTTGCTAGAATAAACTTCTATATAAACGCATTATTTACATGTTAGAACACTTATTCAGTACTTAGTTATTTTTTTAGCTATAATTATATATATTTTAAATGTTCTTTTTATAAGAATATTTCTGTTACAGTTTTAAAAGAAGAATAACAACAATGACAGCAAAAGATCTTCAGCTATAAGCATATATACAAGAGTTTTTTGTAATATTAGCCTGTTCACAATTAACATAAAATACACACAGGGGTGCGTGGCATGGGTCACGATTGGAGCAAGAGAGCTCCGCTACCCCAGGTCCTTTAGAGCATTTAAATACTCAAATTTTGCTAGCTAATGGGAAAACATAGTGACCAGGGAACCTCCCTGGCACCCTCACCTCAAGATTTTTCATGCCTGATGGACGAATTCGTGTTCGTGCCGGACCGCCTACAAGGACCCAGGCATCTGGAAAACATGGCGCTGACATCACAGGGGTCCAACAGGATTGCAGACCATGCAAAACTTGCCATAAGAAGACACACTGGCGCAGATTTCCACGTAGCTGGCTACTATTTTTGCAAATATGCAATCAGATAAGAGGTAATAGCGCCTTGATGTACTTCTTGAGGTAGAGGTGTTTCCAGAAGTAGAATATGTGGAGACAGAAAATATAGCAAAATTTAGAGTGGTATACCCTGTAACTATTAAAATAATAAGAAAATGACACTCAGTTTGTAGAGTTAGGATAGCTCTATCTAGATGCGCCTAAGGAGATGTGTCTTATCTTTAAGTGCTGTAGTGCAAAGAACCTTCAACTGGATACAGTAGGTCCGGATGATATCAGCCCCGCATTATGGGCTCAAAGTATGGAGCAAATTTAAAATATTAACTAATTTCTTAGATTTGCTTGTTAAAAAAAAAAATATATATAAATATATATATATATATATATATATATATATATATATATATATATATATATATATATATATAATAGTAATGTACACTTAGTAAGTAATAGTGTATTTTACAATTTGTGTGTATATATATTTTTTTTTTTATAGAATTGTTTTATTAACTAGCAAATCTAATAAAGTAGTTCATAGTTTAAACTTTATACTTTTTTTAGACCTATACTTTTGCCAATCCATACGCCCCTAATAGAAATCTGCTTCTGTTTTGTTCCAAGACTCTGATATTACTAGAGAACTTTAATGAGTGCTTACTCGTAGTGGCATGAGACCTTGATCTGATACTAGACCCACGTATGGATACCTCGCACAATCCAGCGATGCTGTCAGTAAAGGACACAGGTTGCTCTACTCCACTTTAAACTCCATGATTGCTGGACACTATTCGGCAGCATAGTTCCATAAACTATATTTTTCTGACACAGTAGTTCTTGTCCCTGTTGGTCTCATGTGATATGCAGAGGGAAGCCTGGTCCAACCACTCACCCATCTCTGCTCACACCAGCTTACCTCTTATAAAAACTACACGTGGAGGCTCAACAAAAACACGCTTACGGGCCTGGAGGAACCCTTGTTGGCCCAACAGGCTCTTTAACCAATACTATGAGGAAAATACCTTTGGACCGTTTAATTGGATGGCGGTTTTGGAGGCTCTCAAATGCATAATAGAAGGCATCATATGAACGCCTGTACAGAGCTTTAAAAAAAACAGACCAGACAAAAGGCAGAACTAATCAGTCGTATTACCACCTTGGAGAATAGTCATAAAGCAACCCTATCTGATTATACGGGGAATTAGTTTCCGCGAGACAGGGTCTGAGAGACCTTCTTTCCTAGAAACTTCTTTATATTATGTGAAAATCCCGCCGCTTTTATTACGAACGTTCCATCAAATGCGGCTGTCTGTTAGCCCGTACACTTTAAAAGAGGAGATCGCTCAATCATATTGACCAAATTAAACTTACTGGTGGGAGAACTTCACAGCATCCAGAGGATATTATGACTGCTTTCCACAAATATTATTGCGACCTCTACAATTTCAAGCAACACTGCTCAACGGAAGATCGTAAGCAACATGATGCAAGGTTATCTAGGTTTTATGTGAATAGAACCGTGACAACAGAAGCCGTGGAAGAACTAGATAACCCACTGACCACGAAAGAGCTGCAGGTAGCATTGAAACTTCCGAAATTGGTGAAGGGGATGAATGCGATATGAAACGGTGGACAACTGTAGAGGGATGAATTAGCAGCAGTTATCTTGTTCCCAAAAAAGGACCCGGAATGTTGCAAGAGTTACAGAATAATCTCTCTACTAAATGTGGATCTCAAATTGTTCACAAAGGTATTGACTCCCCTGGCAGGGAAGCCAGGGACAATACAACTAGAGCTCTCTGCATCATACATGAAGCGGAACACTCGCTGAGAAGGCCTTTGACCGGATTAACTGGGGATTGCTTTTGCAAACACTTCAGCTCATGGGATTTGGACCTAACCTGCGGACCTAGATCTCACTTTACACGTTCCCTTCAGCTAGAATAAGAATCAGAGTGCACTCACCCAACTGGTGTCCCCTGTCCCCCATTCTGATTGCCCTCGCTCTGGAACCCTTGCTGGAGACGGTCAGACAGGATGGGGGTATTGCAGGGTTAACTTTGGGGTGCCAGGAGCATAGGGTGGTAGCTTATACAGACGACATGCTCCTTCTTTTTTTTTTAAATATAAATATATATATATATATATATATATATATATATATATCTACTAGTGTCTCTGCCTAATTTGTTGGCAACTTTCACACAATACGGCCAACTGTCAAACCTAAAACTTAACATGGAAAAATCGAAAGTCCATAATATTACCTTACCAGATAATGGCATGTCCCACCTTTGGGAGCAGCTCCCCTTCTCTTGGTGCCAGGCTATGGGTCAGATTCCTTCTGTGGTATGGGGAACGGATTCGGCCATATAAGCCATAAAACTCGGCAACCCTTGTGCATGAGTGACAATTGAAATCTGAACAATCCGGTACTCCCTTCATCTGTCTACGACACCCGGCCCACTTACACAGATAAAACACAACCCAGACATTGCAGATGGGCTCACGCCATCTGAACTTCAGTCACTAGGGGTTAATGGTAACAATGGTGTAACTCAGACTGGCTGAAACCTCTCGCTGACCTGATAGGGGATTGCGTTCCAACGGGTACCATCAAATCCAAAGGCTCTATGCCTCAGTTCCAAATAAATAACTTTTTTTCATAAAGACCAGACCCAATTCAAGTCCTGGAATCACTAACTGCACAACTAAAGGGCCTCACAGACAGATGCACACTCACATGTACTCCTTGGATAGAGTACATAGCTGGACAGGTAGTTCGCAGGGCCGCCGCAGATTGAGCTGCTCAAATGATATTTCTAGATTAATACATATTGAAGACCTGCCTGACAACCCAGGCAGAAATAGCAGAACATTTTATTTGAAAGCCCTCTATTTAACCCTGTAATTTTCCAAAACCCCATAAAACCTGTACATGGCCCGTACTGTTGTACTCCTAAGACAGTGCTTAACACAAATAAGAGTGTTTGTTTTTAAAGCGGTAAACCATATGATGATGATGATGATGATGATATCATCAGTAAAAAGGTTTGTGTAAAAAATGCACATTAAAAGAAAAAAACAAATATAAACACTAGTTTTTGGCCAGATTTTGTGACTAAGTGGTTATTAAAAAAAAGACTGAACATACCCCATTTTGAATAATCAGGGTTGTCTACTTTTGCAAATGGTATGCCATGTGGGGATAATTTTCATTCCTGGTCTGCCATATGGTTTCAAAGGCAACATAGGCCCTGTAAACCAATCTGGCAAATTTCAATGTGTAAAAACCCCGTATTTGACCCTGTAACTTTCCAAAACTCCATTATACCTGCACATAAGGGAGGGATCAAGTCATACTAGTTAAACACTCTTTAGTAAGCCTAGTTAGCTAAAGCAAAATAGATTAATAATGCAAGAAAAATCTATCATTAATCACACTTGGTCCCGTACTTGGATGTCTGGTAAGGAAGGCTATCATGTACTATTAGTAGCTGGAACAAATGTTGTGGTCTTGGTTGGATCCCATTTTTGAAGCTGTAGATAGCCTTTATAGCCGGTTGTAAATCTTTTGCAAGCCTCAGCTGATCAAAGAAACCACGTACCTCAAAGGCCCCTTGTTGGCAAACACAGATACCATACCATCAAACGCTCACCAAATGAGGGATCCCACTTTAGGGATGTTGAGGGAGATCAACTGGACACCTAGAATGTGTCTATTGTTTAATGACAAATCTGTGCTAAAAATAAGAGGAAATCATTTGATTCTTTCCTGTATGAAATTTGTATTGGTTTTTTTTTTTGAAATCTTAACGTTGATTCTTGTGGTGCCAATGTGGATGCTTTTGATTCCTTTGGGACTAGTAACAATACCTTCAAGATTATAAGTTTGCACTGCTCCTGAACAAGGTGGGAGGTTAGTATTTGAAGTATACAATCTGGGAGCTCTGTTAGGCAGTGAATATGGATATTCGTGTTAGAAGATGAACTACAAAAATATCCAGGAACATTTTTGTTTAATTTGAATGATTTGTAGAACGGTCTGCTCCTGCAAATTCTGCTTTTTGTTGCACTTTTTAAAAAAAAAAAAAAATTTTTTTTATCCTTTCGGCTTAGCTAGACAACTTTCTGAGGGATAGAGATGTATGGAAAATAAAAAGTATACGGTATTTTGTACGTCCTTTATAGTTGTCAACAATACATCCCTCTCCATAGCCAAGCAGTAAACCATGGCATTCAGCAACCATTTTAATGCAGAAAGCTATGCATGTATACATTTTTATTTAACAAAATAATATACATTGTATATATACTGGTTGGAAGAAAGAGAGAGGGGCTATGGGGTGGGGAAACCACCACCACTACCACACAAAAAGGTTACAGAGGTACAAGGGGCGTAACCCCACAATATATATATATATATAGAAAAAAAAGAGACGAAAAATGGGGCAGACAGTCCACTCACAAAAAAGTGGGTGGAATGCCTAGCCTCATTCAAAGTACCTCATAATGTAAATAGTCACATAGAAGAGGATAAACAACCTTTATTAGAAAAAAATGCTAAAATGGTATATAGTCCAAATACTATTACCATACACTAAAATAGTGTATTGATTATAAGTTAACCACCAAACTTATAAAAGCCTGGGAGAGGCTAATCCTGCAAGGTATGTTTGACTTAATAAAGGTGTAAAAATACACCTAAAATAATAAATGGGTAACAAAGCAGGTTAGTCTAAATCCATTCTAGGAAAGGACCCAACTGGGTAATTGGATAGAAAAAGGATAGTCTTAGAGCAGTGTCTGAGAGAATCTGGAAAGGGCAGGGTTAATAGCAACTAATGGGGCGCGCCCAAACTAATATCAAGTAGCTTATACTAAACAGAAAAGGAGCTAATACCCCACAAAGAGAGGAAAGATAGAACACCCCCCCCCCCCTCTGAGTCACCCTAAAAAACTAACTATCCTAAAAGAAACAGCAAAACTAACTGCTGCTTCATGGCAGTCTATCCAAATCCCTAAGTCTGTATCAGGAGAAAATATAGGCGCAAACACATGCGCTGTGGAAACCCAGGTAAATGAAAGATGAGAGTAAAGAAAATCAATTGAGTATAATAGCATCGGCTAGAAAATATCTCAGATATACTGGTTGTTCGGAAATATTTTAATTTTTAAGCTGTGCGATCAAAGTATAAAAGTATAGTTGTTCAAGCCCTCCCAATAAAACATTCCAAAATAGTGGTGTTAAACTGAATAATGCACAACTGACCCTTTCGAGTCAATACTTGAAACATTTTTCTAAAAATGTTAATAGAAAGCTTGCACTTTATAATTTGCAGCTTATAGTCTGTGGTTCTATGTTTGTATCATTTTGACCCGTACCCGCCTAAAGAGATGTATACAACAGCATCCAAATATAATTTTAAAAGTAAATGATTAATTAGAAATCATGCAAATGCCAAACATACCCAATTGATAAATTAATGTTTAGAAACAGATGTGCTAGATTTGTGGTATATTTGCATATTTTTATGTAAATAGAAATTTGCACTAATTATCACATTAGAAATCTAGTAATAGTATTCATGTACACTTACTATGTTTATGAACCTGCTCTACTCTCTCGCTAAGAACTCCTATTGAGAGAGAATTACATTTCTAATTAACATGCATTTATCACAGCCATCTAGTGGACAAAAAGAAAATGAACTCTGTTTAAGGCAGGTAGGCTTTCACATTTCCAAGGTTACTGCAGGTGTGGGCTTTTGTTTTGATCAAGCAGAATACCCTCATAATTGTACTGAAATTTTAAAATATATATATATTTTTCTTTTTTTTTCTTTTATAGTTTTTGGGACGAGTCTTTATTGTAGTCATTAATTTCAGTACACAATGGCTTGAAAAATCAAGTTACCTACTTTTTAGGAGATTTCTGTAACAATAAAAAAGCACTCTTTAACTAGTGCAAGTGGTTTTCCATCTAATTTTAACACTTTTAAATGCCAGCCTTAATTTTGACTGGAAATAGTTGTCACATTATGCAATCAACTTCAGAGACCTTTTCAGTGTCTAGAACATGTTACTGCAAGCTTTTTCAGAGAAAAGCAGCGTTTATATTGCTGGCTAGTAACACGTATTGTGGTAGTCACTAAGATGGCCGCTAGAGGTGCCTTCTGTTTCTGTGCTGCAAAGTGTGCAGCACTGAACGTTCCTCATAGAGATGCATTGATTGAATGCGTTTCTATGAGGAGATGCTGATTGGCGCAGCACAACATTTTGCCACGCATTCACAATAGCTTCCAAATGCTTTCCTATTGAAAAAGCACTGACCGGGCTGAGATCAAGTTTGATGATCTCAGCCAGGTGGTCGGAGCAAGGCTAGCCCAGACACTGATTAAGCGGTGCAGAGTGGACTTAAAGGCGAGTTTAGACCCATTTTCACTGCTCTAACACGATGGCCTGGAACCTAAATTGTGTGTTTAACACTTTAGTGTCAGGAATAAATGTTTGTGTTCCTGACTCTATAGTGTATCTTATACATAGGATAAAGAGCTACCTGCTGGCTACATACTACCATGAGTTCATCGTAGAAAGGTTTTGTATGGTTCGTCTGAATCAGATTTCTTTTAATCCACACCTGAACATATCAATCTGATTCAATGAATAAGACTCCACAGGTAAATCCCAGGAAAATCTATTTATTTAGTTGTGGATTAAACATTCTTGGATTCGGACGAACTATCTGAAAATGTAATTACCTAATATGTACATATGAATTAAGTTGGTGCAATTTGAATTTGTAGTTCATGTTACTAAATTACTTTCCTTATTGTCTAGGTATTTGATCCTTGAGAAACTACAGAAAGATGCAGATAGAATACATATTTTCAGTTCCTTTTTCTATAAGCGACTCAATCAAAGGGAGAGAAGGAATCTTCAAGACACTGCAAACCTAACGTAAGCTTTTTGGGTTCATTTTTAATTAAGAATATGTGCACATTGCCATGCTGTTTAATTTAGCAACTTAAAATTTTTAAAGGGACACTCTAAGCACCAAAACCACAATGATGTGATATTGATGTATAGATTATGCAGTCTCATTGCTCAATTCTCTACCTTTTAGGAATAAATCACTTTGTTTATGCAGCTCTAGCCACACCTGCCCTTCTGAGACTCGCAGCCTCCCTGCACACTTTCTGAAAAAAAGTCTCAATTAAATTAGTGTAGGCAATCTTTGACACTGCAGATTTTGTGGACTACATCTCCCACAATACTGTTATTGCCATAATGCTGGCAAACATCAAGGGAGATATAGTCCATAACATCAGGAGTGTCAAAGGTTGCCTACTCCTAAAATGTTGTAACTTCTATAATTGCACAGCGTGTTTAGAATGTATTCTCTCCTGCTAGAGCCTGCAACAGCTTCATGTGTGTGATTAATGTTCAATCAACAGAGCAGAAATCAATAACTTATAAAGTAAACATACTGGGCTGTAAGATCCTGTTGAAAATGAAAGCATTTTTTTTTACATGAAGGCGGCGTGAGTCACAAATAAGACACACATACTTTTGCTAATCCATTAAATATATTGGTCACTCAGACGGCCACTAGAGGTGGGTCAGCGTTCAGATGTTTAGCATCTCTACACTTTGCCTCTAGGCGCTAAACGCTCCTAATAGAGATGCATTGATTCAGTGCGTTTTGTTGCAAATGTGCAATAGCCTCCCAATGCTGTCCTATGGGAAGGCATTGGAATGGCTGAGATCATTCAAATTTTAATATCAGCCAGGGATCTGGGGAGGGGCAAGCTGGATGAAGACCCGTTAAGCCTTGAGAAAAATTTAATTAAATCACCTTTTTAATAAGCTTAATGAGGCCTGGGAAGCTAAACGGCATATTTTAGAACTATAGTGTCAAGAATACATGTTTATATATTCCTGACAATGTAGTGTTCCATTAAGCTTAATAAAGCCTTTATCATCCACTTATGATAGCATAGCCACTGTAGTGATTATGGTAATTGGTGTGTTTTTTGTTTTTTCACAGACTCATGGAATAATGCCCATGTGTTGGCATTTTCTTTTTATTATTATTATTATCAATTATTCTGTTCAAAGATATTACTTTAAAATGCTCATAATATGTTAAATAAAAACACACATTTGGATCAAATAACCTGTTCAAGTGTTACCAATGTCTGTATGGTTTCTTACATGTATGGGTATTTTACTTTTTGTTTTCCCAGATTACAGCAAAGGAGGCATGGAAGAGTGAAAACATGGACTCGGCACGTTGATATTTTTCAGAAAGACTTCATTTTCGTTCCGCTTAACGAAGCGTATGTAAAATCTTAAAAATGTAAATCACACATTTAGCTTGCTCCATCCATAGACCCCTCTTGAAAACTCGTCATGGCTCAGTGGAGCTCCAGAAAGCAAATCAAGCAGGTTTTGGAGGGAAAATTAGTCATATCAATTTTTGTACCACCTGGGTGTGCATGTGAACTGTTTTAAAGGGCACAGTCTATGCTCCATAACCGCTACAGGACTATATGTTTTTGGGTTGTGATTTTTTTTTAGTTTTTTATGGTCAAGACTGAGATAAATGTCCCGCACGCTCTACCCTCACACCCATCCCCCAGCATTGCCTATTACCAATGCAGCGGTTACTCACCCTGATTGAAAATATATCATATATGATCTGCACATTGTGATACATGAAAATCTGTTCTGCAGATCTCCCTAACTTTTAAAGCCCAATGTTAATGTTTTTACTTATGTTTTAGTTACTAACTGAACATCAACTTTTAAGTAACCGTAGCAAAACAAGTTTGACATCCTGGAGTGAGAGCAACCCTGATTAAATGAGCGGACTGTCTGAATGCAGTGATTTGCAAAATGTTGCTTCTGCCTTTGTTCCCTAAGATTCACCAAACTTCAGATAGTCTCCTCTTCTCTCTCCAGCTCTGTGTCATGCAACACTTGAAAGGGGCTAGAACTTTAAACCAGGAATCTCAAACTCTGTACACTCAGATATTGATTACCTACAATTTCAAAGAATGCATTGTATAGGTGTCTAGGTAATCATGGGAGTTGTAGCTCATAAACTGCACTGTTTTAGATTGCAGGGTTAAGGGAACAGGCAAAAAGCATCCAATCCACTTCAATTTGTTGAAGTGGTCTGGGTGCTTATAGGGTTACTTTAAAGTGTCACGTTTATATAAAAAAAGTTAACTCTGCATTTCTCTTGTTGCAAGCTTTTTACATTTTTTTTTATTTACTTTCATTAAGTCGTTTAGTCTTTTAGGGTTAAGGAAAAATTTAAGGTGAGTTTCAAAGTATATGAGAACGCATATTTAAAAAAAAAAAAAAAATGATTTAGTTCAAAAATTTTGTGCTTGCAGCCCCTGTCGTCTGTTTTAAAATATAAAGCCTAATCTACACATAGTACATATCCCAAAGCGGATGCCCGCTAGGTTTTTTGTTTTATAAGCAAAAAGGGCTGATACTGGGATGACCTCAACAAGGATACCATCATAGAAAAATGGGTAAGCCAAACAGGGGAAATAATAAACTAGGGTGAAATGGGAGAGTTTATAGGGAACGTAGAGGCTCTGCGCTGGCTCAACCATACCGGTCAGATTCAGTGACCTGCAACTCTGAAGAGCATTTAGAATTCAGCTTGCATTCAACCACATCCTCAACTGTTCCTTTTCCTCATACCCTTCTATTGTTTTGCTCTGCCTGTTGCTTAATGGTACATAATGAGGCAATATAAGCATCCAATGGAGACCAGCTGGCATCCAGCAATGAACTCCTCATGGCCGTCCTCGGGGACCGCTTGTCCCATTGCCCGCTCTGTGATGCGTCCTAATAATTTTGTATGTCTGTGGAAGAGCTGATAATTTCCGCACCCTTTTTAGACTCAACTGGGCTGCAATTAATACAAGCATGCACAGTCTCTGTATTTCCAAGGGTAGGGTGTGAAGTAGCATCAGCAACAGATAGTGCTCAGAGGATTTAGTAAGCGAAACCCCACAGACATCTTGAAGTAATGATGATTATTATTATTATTGGTATTTATATAGCGCCAGCTTATTCCGCAGCGCTTTTGCATTAACACCCCATAAGGTCCCACCAGCGGGCTTGTCACAGCGCCAAAAAGATGCCGAAAGGTTAGGAAAGGATCTTTGCAATCTAGAATGGGTCAAATGTCATTGCAGAATTAATTTAAAATGCATCGCTAAATGACTAGTATATTTAAATGTTTTGGCTAATAACTGTGCTGATCGATACCAATTTTAAGGTCAAAATAATCAAACTGGAAAAATTCTCTAAGTCAGCTTTCCTTTCCATTCAACTACTCTGGCCTTAAATTTGAAATTAGCTTTGAATTCTCACTTTAGGGAATAGCCCTCTTTAGGTCTATGAATGAATTAGAACTTGCTTGTTTTACAGTAATAAAACAAGGTGTTATTGTATTGAAGCTCCAGGAAAGTGTGAGTGCACATCTTTTATTTTACCTATCACCACTACAGTTTTAAATACTACACTATTATTTCTTCTCTCATTCTCTTCACATATACCTTGTCAAGGATTACTGAAGCGCTGCACTTACCACCCTGTTTTTATCCAGTTTTCTAATCGGGAAAGAGAGACTCCGTATTGGTGTTCAAGCTGCTTTTGGACTATTATCACTTTGCTTCTGCGCTGAATTTATTTTTGTGTGATTGTGTAATTTTACATTAAAGGATCACTATAGGGTCAGGAACACAAACATGTATTCCTGACCCTATAGGGTTAAAACCACCATCTAGCCCCCCCTTGTCCCCTCATGCCTCCATAAATATAGTAAAAATCTTACTGTATTCAAGCTTGAAGCTGTAACTCTGCATGCTGTTAGACTCAGGAAAACAAGCAGTGTGCTGACATCATCAGAAGTGGTAGCCTGATCCAATCACAATGCTTCCCCATAGGCTTGGCTGAGACTGACAAGGAGGCAGATCAGGGGCAGAGCCAGCATGATTCAAACACAGCCCTGGCCAATCAGCATCTCCTCATAGAGATGAATTGAATCAATGAATCTCTATGAGGAAAGTTCAGTGTCTGCATGCAGAGGGAGGCGACACTGAATGTTTGGATGCATTTTAGGCAGCCATGACCCAGGAAGGATCTTTTACAGCCATCTGAGGAGTAGCCGGTGAAGTTATCACTAGGCTGTAATGTAAACACTGCATTTTCTCTGAAAAGAGTGTTTACAGCAAAAAGTCTGAAGGTAATGATTCTACTCACCAGAACATATTCAATAAGCTGTAGTTGTTCTGGTGACTATAGTATCCCTTCAATCTGCTCGAATTGAACATGGTTTCTAATCTTTGGCATCAAATAATCTGTTTGGACATTACAATGTAAATGTCTGAAACTTCTCTTTTTTGTTGTGTTTTTTTTTTCCAACATCTAGTGCCCATTGGTTTCTAGCAGTCATATGTTTCCCTGGATTAGAAAAAGCAGATCATATTGATAATCCTTACTACCAAGGACCCATGACCACTTCTTCCTCTGCGTCCATGGTAGCTGGGGAGAACAGCAGCTACTCTTCGAATGAAAGTAATTCAGAAACTTATCTGCAAGCCAATTCTTCCAAATCAACCCCAAAGAAAACACCCAACAAAAAGTCCGCAAGCACATCTCATGACGTAAGCACAGGGACTGATGAAAGTGACACTTCAGAACATAGACGAAGTCCATGTGTGGGAAGGCACAATCTTAGAAAAAGTGATCAAGGATCTGACATTTCCCAGAAACCTATTTATCAAGAAACACACTCGAGTACAAAAAATGTAAATGGAATCACAAGTGAAAGTAAAAATTCACTGAAGCATGCAGGTGAGGTTTTATATATAAATAATGTATATAGAATTTTATCAAGATTTTGGAATGACTAGTTATTAAAAACCATATGGGTGTTTGTTTTTTATTGTTTATGTATACATAACACATCAAGTTTGAATATAGTGTTAAAAATGTGAGGAGGTGTATTGTTTTTCATATTTTTTTGCTTACATTTTTTACATATCCAATAAAATAAAAAGAACTCAAAAAAGACTTGCGTATCAGTCCAGACTGCTAAGTACCTCACATGTCTAGGGTCTAAATACATTTTGGTAGTGAACATGAATCCTATTTTAACCCCCTCTAACACTTTACCACCCTAGCCCTAACCTTATGTTTGCACTGAGACCAACTGTTTACCAACCTTAACCCTGCACCTTGAAACAGCATTAACCCATGCCTTACCCTAATCCTACCTCTAACACTAAGGAAAGCCTCTGCCAATATCAGTACTGATCATAAAAGATCGCTTTCCTAGTTTGCGATCTTCATCTACTGGCCGTTTTAACTATTATTTCCTGTTATCCTGAAATGAAGCATGCTTTCCCAGCCAATTACACTGTGATCAGTTACAGTTGGTTTGGATGCATGCAGAATGACCCTGTCAGTCTGTTCAGACACTGGGAGTCTTCCTTCGGCAGCTGAAATTCAAAAATCCCAATGCCTGAGCGCAATCTGCTCAGTCATGGTGCTCTCAATTAATTGAAAGGGCTAGATCCAGTGCTCACTTTTGATCGTTTCCTATTATGCATCTATCAGTCTGGGGCCACCAAACAAAATGGCCCCTGCTTACAGTGATTTAACCCTGCTCACTCCAGCCACAGGGATTACAATTGCCATATAAAGGGCTGTATATGCAGTGCTCACTTTGAGCACTTCATACAGCTTATCTGTCTGTCTGGGGCCACTAAAAATGGCCCAGCTGACAAAGAGCAGCCCCGGGTATGGATTGATACCAGAGATTCTCTGGTGTGAGCAGAAATGTAACTCTTCTCACATCAAAATGTTAGGATGTGTCCATACATCCTAACTGCTTTAGAGCCCAGGACACATCCATTTAAAAGTTAAAGGAACACTCCATACCCCATAATTTAAATTTAAGCAAGTTGATGTGCCTGCACAACCATTTTTCCACCTTTCATTAATATAGAAACCTTTTCCTTTGGTGCAGGTGATGGGTACCATTCTAAAGCACTCCCTAAATGGGCTCCTTCTAAAGCACCCCTAAATGGGAATCCAGTGAAATACTGAAAAGTGTTGGCTGACACTCTCAGCCAACGAAAAAAGCTTCTAAATGCCGAGGAGGCGGCATAGGTGCTGAGCAGATAGCCATTATGAACACAACTAAGGTTTAAATATTTGAAAAAGTTGTTTATCCCCATAAGGTAAAATTACACCTGAAAACTTCTGACTCCATAACAACCTAAGTGACATGAAGTTGTTATGGGTCCTTGGAGTGTACCTGGACATGCTTCATGCCCAGAGAGGACTGTGAAATCTGCATAATGGCTATACATGCTTGCTTTTCACCATATTACACCTCTTTAAAATATCAACATTTTTAATATTTGTGTCTGTCAATGAACTCAACCTCTGTTGAATCACTCTTTAAGGTTATTTAAGTGCATTTGTAAAAGAAAAATACATGAAATGGCACATGTAATTCTCAGATATGTACTAAAAGAGTTTTCTTAATTATGAAACCATAGTCAATATTTTACACACAAAGATTTTGTTTTTTATGTTGTCAGTTAATATTATATCTTCACCTGAACGTTTGCAGTTTAGAATAAATGATTGTTCAATCTCCCGTTCTGATGCTTTGTCTAGTTTGAAAAGTACATAACTGTAATAGCTTTCTGGAGGGTTTGTGGATATCTACTTGATGTGTTGTTTTGATTGTGTTTTGTTCTGCAGATGGTTTGCACAGAATACAAATAAGCTATAGTGAGCCGCCAGATGACCTGAAGAAAACAGCAGAAGAATTCATAGATTCTGATGATCAAGATAATCTGGTTAACTGCATTTTTAACATGATATAAGAACGTTAACAGTGCTATTTCCATTTTTTTAACCTCTTACATATGCATAATTTCATACAAATTATGTAGTGAACGTGTGAATGTCTATGGCTACTCCTGACATTAACAGGACATTCCAGACACTAACTCACTTAAACTATTTGTATAGGTTATGCTGCTCTCCATTCTGTCTTTCCTGCTGATTAATGCTACTTTAATTTTGCTGTGAAGTCAAAGCTATATGTCATCTATTCACCTAGTGACATCATAGGTTAAACATAGTTTTTCCCCTGTACATAATCGTGTTATTCAACTTGTACAAATTCTGTTATGGTTTTTCTGTATAGCAGTATGGTTCATACGTGGCTGCAGGTAGTTTTATTAATGACAAATATGAATGATGCTACTTGACATGTAGCTAAAAGAAGCCTAGTAGCCGATTTAAGTTTGAGTAGTAGTTTAATTTGTGTTTTTGAAGAGGGAAAGTATTTAACAGCTGAACTTATATCATATCATATACCCTACTGTTGATTGTTAAAGGGTTACACCAACCACTATGTCCACTTCTGCTTTTCGAAGGGGTCCTTGTGGTACCAGTGTGGATGTGCAGTGTTCCAGCTTGAAACTCTGAACATCCAGAGTAACTGGCACTTGTGCATTGGGACAATTTGCACCCCAGCACACGTGACATTGGCAGCCCTGAATGTCAGTTCTGTGCATAAAATAAATCTGCTGTCAGGGCGCACTGCATGTTGCCGGCAGATTTAACTGCTTCACCCTTGCAGACATAAACTGCAAGGGAGAAGCTCTTGTCTCCCCTGCCACACTGCAAGACCTCCCACCAATCCCTTTGTCCATATTTTTTTTCATCTACTCCCTCCTCTTCCTTTACTCCTCCCTTTGCCGACTCATGGGCTTTGAGCCTGTAAAATGGTCTAGTCAAAGGCTTCTCTATACTGTGTATCCTCTTATTAATATTATTTTCTGCTTTTATTGTTGATTGTTTTAAATTTGTTGAAAAGTGTACCTATTTCAGATCTTAATATAATTTTTTCCACTTCTCCGATTCTGACAGCTTCTCTGCTGTAAGTTCAGTTTAGGGAAACTGTTTAATAACATTTACAGACCTTTGTCTATGTTTTATTATAACACAAACTGTATGTATGCATTACCCAGGTGTATATGTATATACAGAATGGTGGTATTCTAGCCTTCACTGATGAACAGAATAAAGTTAAAACTTAGCTGTGTTAGTGCAATTTTTCCCTGCAGCCTTATCCTCCACGGCAGAGGTAATTGCCCCTCACTGTAAGGATATGGAGGTCAGGAATAGCAGGCTGAGGGGAGGACAAGAGCATTACAAGCATAGCTGTGCCACCATTGATGCCGCTAAAGGTGGGCTTACACCTCTGGCAGCAGTGGGCTTGCACTCAGCATGTGCAGTATTTCATACTGACTGAAGTCAACATGACCACTTCAAATCAGTAAAGTGGTCATGGTGCTTTGGGTAACCCATTGAGGTCTTCTGGCAAGTCTCCAACATGATCTTTTATTTTATTGATGTATTTTCCCCTGACTAATTTTTTTCTCCTCAGGATGAAAGCAGTGATGATGGAGACCTTGCAGATGAAAATTGTACTTCAGAAGCAGGGAAGTGGCATCTGAAACCCACGTTCTGCAATCAGTAAGTATTTTGCATTCAGATTAAAATTGTTTGAATCTTTTTTTGAAAGAATTGAGGAATCTCATAATATCAAGTATGGACTTCAGCTGTTATACATGCCCCTCAGCTCAAATTTGTGTTTATCTGTAAGAAAATTTTAGTATAAAACAGTAGACCTACAGCTGGTGACATAGCCCAGTGAAAAGGGATCCAGGTGCATTATCAAAGATGTCTGTCACCCTTTTTCCTATGTTTCATCCTTTCTCAGTTGATAAAACGAGTACTATTAAGTTAGTTTATAACATTTAGAACCTTAAATGCACTTGAAAGCGAGTGAAAGGTAAATGTTCCTTTCCTGGTTTAATATCTTAGAAACATAGAATGTGATGGCAGATAAGAACCATTCGGCCCATCTAGTCTGCCCAATGTTTTTTAAATACTTTCATTAGTCCCTGGCCCTACCTTATAGTTAGGATAGCCTTATGCATATCCCATGCATGCTTAAACTCTTTTACTGTGTTAACCTCTAGCACTCCAGCTGGAAGGCTATTCCATGCATCCACTACCCTCTCAGAAAAAGTAATACTTTCAGATATTATTTTTAAATCTTTGCCCCTCTAATTTAAGACACTGTCCTCTTGTTGTGGTAGTTTTTCTTCTTTTAAATATAGTGTCCTCCTTTACCATGTTGATTCCCTTTATGTTTTTAAATGTTTCTATCATATCCCCCATCTCATCTTTCCTCCAAGCTATACATTTTAAAGGGACACTCCAGGCACCCAGATCACTTCTGCTCATTGGAGTGGTCTGGGTGCCAACTCCCACTACCCTTAACCCTGCAAGTGTAATTATTGCAGTTCTTATAAACTGCAATAATTACCTTGCAGGGTTAACTCCTCCTCTAGTGGCTGTCTTCTAGACAGCCACTAGAGGGTACTTCCCGGTTCATTGCACAGGTTTTCTGTGCTACAGCGGCGCTGGACGTCCTCACGCTTTATGTAGTCTGTCCTGTGTTTCTCTCTTCACCTTAGTATATAGGTGCCAATGTATCTTTAATAAATCTCTTATTTTGTTATAATTGGGAACGTTGTTGTTTTTTTTCTTTGTTTTTCAGTTTGTTTTTTTTAATATTACTTTAGATGACTTTTTTTTTATAATACTTTGTTTAATGTTTTTTTTGTAAATTACGCACTTTATACACTGATCAGCCACATCATTAAAACCACTGAGAGGTGAAGTTAATAACATTAATTATATTGTTACAATGGCACCTGTCAAGTGGTGAGATATATTAGGAAGCAAGTGAACAGTCAGTTCTTGAATTTCATGTGTTGGAAACTGGAAAAATGAGCAAGCGAAAAGATGAGTGACTTTGACAAATAGTGATGGCTAGATGATGGGTCAGAGTACCTTCAAAATGGCATGTTTTGTGATGTGTTCCTGCTAGAGAGTGGCTAGCACCTACCAAAAGTGATGCAAGAAAGGACAACTGGTGAACCGGCACAAAGCAGATAGTGAGGCGTGATAAAGACCCTGAGGTTGGGTCAAAATGTTGCCAATTTCCACACAGGTGGAATAAGTCATTTATTTTGGTGTTGCGGCTCCTTATTGTTTTTAACCGGTGAACCAGCATCAGGGTCATTGGTGCCCAAGGCTCATTGTTGCCCATGGGGAGTGAAGGCTAACCCGTCTGGTCTGATCACACAGAAGAGCTACTGTAGCTCAAATTGTTAAAAAATTTAATGCTGACCATTATACAAAGGTGTCAGAACACAGAGTGTATGGCAGTTTGCTGCGTATGGGGCTGCAAAACCGCTAATCGGGCATAGTGCTCATGTTGACCACAACCGAAAGCACCTTCAATGTGGACATGAGTGTCAAAACTGGACCTTGGAGCATGGGTTGCTTGAATCATATTTTCATTTTAGATCCAGTAGATGGCCATGTGCATGGTTTACCTGGTGAAGAGATGGCATCAGGCTGCACTATAGGAAGAAGGCATGCCCACTGGAGTCTAAAGAGAGATTCTTGGCACCTACCAACCTGTGGCACTCAAAGTATTCTCACCTTGATCATGCAAAGTACATGGCTTTGTTTTGCTTTGACACTGTAAAGTCCCCTTTTTTCAGGGGCTCAAATGTAATTGGACACATTAGCACAATCATAAATAAAGTGTTAATTTGTAATACTTTGTCGAAGCTCCTACAGGCAAAAACTGCTTGAAGTCTAGAATACATGAACATCACCAAATGCTGGGTTATCTCCTTCGTGAAGCTTTGCCAGGCGTTCACTGCAGTTGTCTTCAGTTATTGTTTGTTTCTGCCTTAACTTTTTGTCTTCAGCAAGTGAAATGTATGCTCGATCAGGTGGTTGATTCAGCCATTGCAGAATATTCCACTTCTTTGCCTTAAACAAAAAAAACCTGGGTTGATACCGCAGTATGGATCCATTATCCATCTGTAAACTGAAGCAGCAACTAATCAACTTTGCTGAATCTGAGCAGACAATATATTTTATTTAGTTTGTTAGAGTGTATAACTTTACAGCTACACAGCAAAACTTCTCCCAGTAATGTTTCTTCAATTCAATGTATTTAGAAATCAGTCTGTTCAAATGAAATACATTTAGTAATGCAGAAAACCCTGCGGTGCCGAACGAAATACAGATTGCTCATGCCCCTGTTATGGTACCCAAGCACCACCTAGCGGGCCCAAAAGCAAATACGCCACTAGGTCTCACAGGAGGTTAGGGGAGTACTTGCAGCCTCATTCACATAACGTTTTACCGTTCCACCCTCACCAAACAGATGGACACCTATTCATCACACCTCTATGACAGCACACAATCAATGGGTCATGAGCATTCGTACTTAGAATAGGGACACCTGGTGACACATAGGTCTGAGGGGTCCACAAATTCGGCACCGCACCGCACAGGTTATTAGCGCTTCATGCGAGGTTACCGAAGAGGCATTTACAGCCGAGGCTCGCAACCCCATTAGCCAAGTGAGAACGAGAGCTGACAACAAATCGCAAGTCTCTCCACTTAACGTATTCAGTACAGAATAATTGCAATCTGAAAGAAACCTACTATGTCCCTAGCACCATGGTGCCGAAACATGTACACACAGCTACATAGTTTATTACAACACCCCTGTTACATAATCAAATTCCTAACTGCATATGGAGCCCAATAACCGATCCTCGAACCTCCAGTCTCAATATGTCATTGACCTCATGTATCCCACAAGGCTAGAGTGTCACACAAATGTCAGAGGCATATATCTGGAGGTTCTTGCCCACCTTACCTGCACAATCTCGAACGCCAAGAAAGGTTGTCACACCAGAATAAAATAGGGACCGGGACACATTTTAAATTTGATAAAGCTATTACATGATCTTCCTAATCTAATTGCTGCCATAACCTGGGATAACTCCTTCCCTTCAAACGCTGCAAATATCAGCAACTTGTTATGCAACAAAAAACTTCAACTTGTTACTTAGCTTGGGTACTATAATGTTACAATAACTGTGATTAATGATCAAACCCTAAACTGCAACATGCTTTTTCCTATTGAAGGGTCAATTGTTAGTTTCTTACAAAAGTTTACAACACATTTTTGTGGCCCATGTCTTCAAAATCAATGTGGGTTTCTTTCTATATTTAACCTTTACAGATCACATTGTAACTGCTTGCAACTTCTACATCCTACACTTGTTAATTTTTTATTTGAACCTGTCATAACTGCAACTAAAATGAGAAATAAAGATTGTCCAAAAAAAAATGGTCTCTTCAAGCACCCTGATCAATGCTGAGTTGAAGTTGTCATGGTACCAGGAGTCTGTGCTGAATGCTGCACATTGAGAATTTAACCCCTTTTGCTGCTGGAGGTGTAACTCCACCTCTGGTAGTGTAGTGGAAATCATTTGCCAGGCCGGAATAAGAGTTCTGTGCACTAAGATGCATTCATTGGCTGAAAGCGATCAGCTTACGCTTTCAGCTAATGAATGAGCTGCAAGATAATCATATTGCTTCTTTATAAGCCTGCTGCAGAAGGTTAGCCCCATTACCGCATGACAGCGCCTGGGTTCTCTTCTCATCGTAACCACTACAGCGGGAAAAGAAAAGTGAAACTCTGACAGTTTTAATAACTTTACATCAACAAAATGGTTGGTGCCCCATTCTTCCTGTGATTTCTTGCATGCACTTGCTCGTTCTTAAATAGAAAAAACAAAGTGCTCTGTGCAGATAAGTTAACAATATTAACAAATTAATATTATTTAAGCAATAGCAGCTACTAATGTGAGCCTCTCACTGTACAGTACATCTCTTATCGTTTAAGGGTAAGTGTTTTTACTGCTCCAGTGTATTCACTGGGGGTATATGTAACCACTCCGTTCACTTAGTAAATTACATCATTCATAAATAGACTTGCTGTGCTTTGTAGAATACAGGCACTCCTCACTTACTGACTGGGTTCCGTTCTTACGGCTCGATTTGGTCGGTAAGTGAGGATGTGCTACGGAGCATGCGCACCAGTGCAGGTCTATGTTAGAGGAAATTTCCCTGAACATAAACAAGCGCAGCAGAGCAGGGAATCTCTCAAAACATAGATTAGATGGATTCCCTGCTCTGGTTTCTTTCTTTCTTTTTTTAAATTTATTTTTTTTTTATTTTTTTTATATGTTCGAGTAAATTTCCCCGAAAGTAGACAACGCACCAGAGCAGGGAATCCCTCTAATTTATGTTTGGGGAAAATTTCCCTGAACATAGACCAGCTCTCTAATGGGGGGAATCCCTTGTATCCCCATGCTAGAGATCTGATCGTAATTGTGAGCCGTCGTTAAGTGAGGACAACCTGTATCTATGTTTAAAATAGTTTTTACTACTTGCGCAAAATGTACTTGTCTAGATGGCTTTTTGTTTTCATAATGAAAAATAATGCAATGATGCTTTTGTCACATTTTGTGTAACTATAAAAGAAACCGATCATCATCTTATTACTGTGTGTGCTTTAACATTAGGAAACCCGGAACAGTGTACTGGCTGCATTATATTTTTAATACCATAGATGTACACTCATGGCATGACATTCCTGCATATACTGGTGCTTGGAAATATGTTTATGATACATTTTTGTCATGGATTTTCCTTAGAAAATGTTGTGTTTTAAGTGCATAGCACTGTTTTTTATAACACTTTAATTTTTTCTTTTTTCCTCCTTTTCCTTTTACAGACCCTGTATATTACTGATGGACTCACTGAGAGGGCCTTCTCGCTCCACAGTAGTTAAGACACTACGAGAGTAAGTACCGAATTTGAAGTAGTACATTGCAAATATTGTAGAAATATCACAGTGCCATATCCTCTCTTAGAAGCCTACTGGCATGGTCTCTTGTTCAATTATGCTTTGTCCATAACTGTACCATCTGCGCTATTGAGACCATGTGCTCAGTGAGTATTTTTTTGCAATGACTAAAGCACAAACAAATACAGACATGTCACTTTGAAAAGATAATGCACATGTCCATGTATATGCACAATTGTGTAAATTATAAAAGCTAAAGGAAGCTTAACCATGTAGGAAGTGAAAAACATAGCTTGTCTCCGATATATTCATACTTCTGGAAATAAAAATGGGGAATTTAGTGCTTGTGTAATTACTGATACAGTGACAGCTCAATAACCAAGTCCAGTGTCTCTCTACTCCGGTTGAATAAAAGGCAGAAACAAAATGGTAGGTGGTGCACCTTAAGTGTCCTTCGAGTTTGATGTAACAACAAGAAAAGAGAAGGATTATAAGAAATAAGATGTACCTGAAAAAGTGTAAGTGTACATCTTATTCCCTTTTTTTCCATTATCCAAAGAAATACTACACTATAATTTTTTATTTTTTTCTCTTCTTGTCATTACATAACACTTGAAAGTTACTTAGAGCGCTCCACTATTTTGTTTCATATTCATAAAAACAAACAAGTGAAACGTGCAGAGTCTCATGCAATGCCCGGGCATGTAGACTGTGGGCAAAAAAAGCCTAATGTCATCCACCCCTCAAGCTAGTAATGCTACTGTAATAAAGATAGAAACAGCTGAGTTCAGCAAAGTAGTTTCCCCGAACTCCACCTCTCCCAAGCCCAGGCCTAAATGAGAACCGTTACCCATAGTCTACTGACACCTCCACTCTGAATGAGCAGGTCTGAGTCCCAAGAGAGTCCCTTACATAGATCCTCCTGACGTTGTGTAGGAGTGTACAGAGTCCACCTGAACCGCTCATCAGCAGTTGATGTGAGTTGGAGATTGCGATTATTTATTCGTTGCCAGAATCTTTCACAAATTACACTAAATGTTTGTTGTTGCTTCTCTTCTCTTCAATGAGACTTAACCCTGTAATTTGTTATGAAGTGGCAATCTTGGCTTTACTGTGATGAAACGTAGCATCCAGGTAAAATAATGTCTTTTGTAGACAACGTCAATATAGATCCTTTATGGTAGGCACCAGGATAAACCCTGCCTGTCCAAAGTAAGGGGAATGTGGTACAAGCAGGATAGCAAACTGGCAATACTCTCCAGGATGGGTGATCAGCTGCTTCTCTGTCTACAGAGCTGAACATCCACACTAGGCCCCAACTCCTCATGCTGTGTAGCTCTCTTGGAAGCCTACAGTCACAAAGGCTGTAATTCTCTCACCGAGGTTCCAAGTCCCTGGAGAGTCAAGCCCAGCCTCCAGAAGTGGAAATTTTGACTGCATAAATGTATATTTTCACATTTTGATTTTGTTCATCTTTCTTTCTAGATACCTTGAGGTAGAATGGGAAGTCAGGAAAGGAAACAAAAGAAGTTTTTCCAAAGATGTAATGAAAGGTTCTAACCCCAGAGTTCCTCAGCAGAACAACTTCAGTGACTGTGGAGTATACATACTGCAGTATGTGGAGAGCTTTTTTGAAGTGAGTACAATAAAACTATGTATTTTAGTTACGTTAATGTTTGCTCTATCCAAATTCAAAGTAAATGTTTTTAGCCACGTATGTTTTGATATATCTACTACATTCTCTTGCTAATACAGGCATATATTTAGCTTTTTCCTTATCTTTTCTTTTCTTCTTTTTTCTGTTCAATTATAACTCTTAACACTTTCAGGTTCAGTACATCTTTTATTCTCTGTCCAGCTTTTTAGGCCAGTCAAGTGACTGCCTGAGAACATTGTTAATTTGTAAATTGTTAGTCTCTAAACAAATCCATTGCTAGGCATGTGATTAAGAGTAATGCCCCTTTTTGCACTGTGAAGTGTTGTCAGTGATACAATGCCAAATATTGCCATTTGGGATTAGGCTCCGTCTTATAAGTCTTTCTTTGAAATACATGAATAGATGTATTTTATAAAAAAAAAAAAAAAGTAATTTTATTTTTTTAAATATATCCTCTTCTTTTTTTTTTTTTTTTTCAATTTACATATTTCAGAATCCTATCCTAAGTTTTGATCTGCCAATGAATTTGACTGACTGGTTTCCACAACAAAGAATGAAAACAAAACGAGAAGAAATTAGAAACCTTATCCTTACTTTACACGAACAACAAAACAAAGGACAGAAGGACCTTAACACAACACAGCCTGCTCCACAGGAGCAAACAGAACAGTTTATCAGTAGTGGCTCAGACTGAAATGTTTCATCCGTTGCATGCTACTCTACCATCAAACAATAAACCTGACGTTTGTTGCCTATTTCGCAACCTACAGCGAGTGTCTGATTCACTCAAAGCTCACAGAGCTGTTTGTGAATGTCAACACTAGTGCAAATGTTCGAAAAGGATTATTGTCCAAGCAGATATGTTAGGAAAAAAATGTTCTGTAAATATAGTAATGAGACCATTTCTTTTCAGTATTTATAATGTCCGCCCTCTTCCCTTTTTTATTACCTGATTCATTAGGAGAGTTTATGTATTTCCCTTAACAGTACCTAAGTAACAAAAGTATACATCAAATAAAAATGTTATTTATAGGATCACACGTTAATGTGTATAGTTATTAAGTTATGTGCTGCTTCCTTGGCACATTCAACTTTCATTTTCTTTTATTTCTTTTAATCCGTCCTTTGTTTTTTTAAAAAAATTTTTTAATTCTATATAAAACTTTCTTTCACAGGAAAGCATGCGTAACAGTCCTAGGCGTTGCTGAGACTTTTTACATAAGATTTTCTGAATTGGCCTTTGGAGACTAATTTTAGTGGACAAAGAGATATGGATAAGGGAGTGCACTAAAGCTCATTAATGGTTAAAATGATATTGTTAAAGTGCTTTGCTATTCCCAGAGTTAGTGTACACAAGCAAATACATGCTGTATTAAGTCCATTTAATTGTGTTGCTTTGTATCAGTACACTTGTCTATGTAATTTAACTATTTATTTTGTAAGCAACCTCATTGGATGAACAATAGATACATTGGTACAATGCAAGATTTCAGTCCTGGTAGCTTCTATGCCATGCTGGTACTAGAAGTTGGCCAACATTTTTGATAAAACTAGGACCAAAGTGGATTAAGCAGAGTAGTATCTAGTGTTTATGTTTAGGAAAATGCCAGACATGCACAAAATTTCAAATTGTATACAAAATAGACACATGTTTAAAAGTTTTTTTGGGGGGTGGGAAGGGGGGTTCTTTCTAAACTGACCATTCTTGAATAGTTTGCATACCCAATAATATACTCACGGACACACAATATTAGTTCTTTGATGTAGCCAAATACTACTTTTTGTATTTACAAAGCCTAGAAGGATCTGGACATACAGTTGATCCAATGAAAACATGGGATTTTTTGAAAATTGTGCAAGAGCCCAAGGAAAAGATGATCAGGTGTTTAACTTCCCTTTCAATGTTTCCACTATCACTGTTTTGCATGTGAGAGGCTCATGGGTCTGCGAACTGGGAAACTTAGTAGTACACTCAATACAAGTGCTGAAAGAGAACTATGCACTCTGCTGGACATTTCATTATACCGCTAAATATGAAAGATGTCTGTTTGTAATCTTTGTGTGTTTTATTTATATCTGTCTCTGATGCACAATAGAATGTTTCTCTCAGTGCCTTGCATCTGCTGTGTCATCTAACAAGCTTAAAACACTGCCAGCTGTGTCACATTCTCATACAAAAAGAAAGTCTTATAAATAAGTGCTAAAAGTGCAGTCATTTATTCCTGTTCTGTAAATATTTAGACTGGTAATGTATACCAATTGTAGCAGAAGTACTAATTTGATATGTACATTAATTTCCACAGTTGGGTAGGGCAGCACACTTTTTTTTGCTGTTTGTTTTGCTTCCAATATGGACTGTGCAACAAAATTAAGATTATATAGACTGCTCTTAGCAGAAAGTCCTGTTTCAGCTTTTCCTGCCCTGTTCTTTTCTTTTCACAATCTGTCAAGTCAAAAGAATTTGAGAAAGGAAAAAAAAGGTATTTAAGTTGTCTTTCAATAAATTAACTTCAAGAGCCTTTAACATATCTTTTAAGCTATTGAGAAATTAACATGCATTTAGGAACATGGTAAATCTAACTTTAAAATTATATTTTGGTGTTTACCTTTTGTGTTCTCATAATGTGCAATAGAAACAATGTTGTAAAGGCAATGAAGAACCAGAACTATCTAGTGAATTAACGTTTTGCCTATGTAGTCTCATTTACTGCATGATCTTCATCTTTTTAGGCAATGTTTCTATCTTATGTTAGACCACCATTTATTATACAGGTTCTTGCATTACTCCCAGGTCACAGAAAGTGCTGATGTACAGCTATATTGGCACTAAGGCATTCTACTTGGTTGTATTAACTGCTTCACAGGAAAAATACTTTGACAATGAAAAAGGAGAAAACACAAAAGTGTGTATGATCTTTGCACTAATATGCTCAATAAATGCCAAAATATACTTTTTAAGGTTTATTTTCACATTATGTTAATACTCTTCTATCTAGAGAACTGTGACTATTCGGCTACATACCCATTATTTATTTTGAGTGTGTGAACATCTTTTAATACACAATGGGAGCTAGTACTGCTCCAGATCTCAGTTTCATGATTGATGTTTGAAGTATTTTTTTTTTTTTTCTTCATACCTTGTGGTTTAGGTCTGTGCTAGGCTGATTCTTTAGATAACATATTTATTATTTTTGAAATAAAAAGAATTGTTTATAAATATTTATTGTTGCATATTCTTTAATAACTTTTCTGTAATTTTGTGTGCCTTTTGTAAGGCAAAAACAAAGTGAGCCCTGTTTATAATAGTCATTTTAAAGTAAGTATTTAACTGAACAAAATCATTGTGAAATTCTTATGTCTGAGATATTTTACAATATAACACGACGGCTATCTGAAAACAGAGTGTGGGTTGTTCTTTTGTGTATTTTTTTTAAAATTCACATTGTATACCTGGCTGTCCTAGCACCTGCTAACATCTTTCTTCTACTTGCCTCCTATTATTTATTTATTTTTTAACTTTACTCCTAGGATCATCAATGTCCCATTGTGATTCAATAGATACAAGTATGGAGAAGGCTCAACTGCCTTAAATTGAAGTAGACTTTATTGTGGCAAGTGTAATTAGATTAGTGAAATGTGGTGTTTTGCTGCGCATGCACACTTGCCACCCTTTGGATTGGCTGAGATCGTTGATCTCTAATCTTAGGTGAAGAAGTGAAACTACATGCCATTAACAAATGCTGCAAGAACAAAATAATTAAAACTACTTTTTTTAACCTTGCCAGCAGGAGCTCCATCATCTAAGCAGTTGGGGGAAAAAAAATTTGTATTCCTAACACTATAGTGTTTCTTTAAAGAAATTGAACCTCCTCCACATTTTTTCTTTTAGATAAAATGGATGTAACCCTCAGAAAGCCATATACGATCATGTAGACATACAGCTCTTCAGAAGGAATGTCTTGGTATACTTGCATTTGGACAAAGATGTGCTTCAGAAGCATTTGTCTTTGCCTTTACTAGGGTGAGGGAATGAGGAACGGTCGCTTCCATATAAGTGATCGTTTTGCTTTAAGAGGTTTTTCTTAAAGGAGAATGTGCATATGGGTAAAAGCACACAGAGCCCCCTTGCCTATACATGAGGTATGTATCCCCTTTAAGTTGACTGCAGACTTGTCGAAATAAAAATGTGTAGGTGCTTTTTTTTTTTTTTTTTTTATAGTATTACGTTCTAGGTCTTGCAAAAGTAAAAGGCGCGCAGATTTAAAAATTATGAAAATTCATATTTATTGAAACTGCTTATAGCACTATTTCTCTTGGTAGCATCCCTTACAGACATCATCAAAACATATTAATTTAGACCCTTGTCTCCCATGCATCATTTTAGAGCCAATGCTTGGGATCGGGGATAGCCAGTGACACTGCTGGGGCAACAATGGTGAGCTTCCCCTGACTGCTCACCATTTAGCAGATAAGCCCCATCCACACCATATGATGAGTGGGTGGATAAGGGAGTAAATATTTTTCCCTATGGTAATACAGGGGTCCTGCTGAACCCCCTATGGATTTTCTTTTATTGCAGAATATAAAGTATCATTATAAAAGATCTAATGTACAATTAACAGGTTTCACAGGTAGGATGGAAAGTGCAATTTATTTAGTCAGTGAGCACAATAAAATACGACAAAATATATCCTACATGTTAAACCCGTGGATTTTGCTTTTTATTCTACCTATTGAGAGGTTGCGGGCCTCTAGTATGAAGTACTGGGGCGTTCATTGGTACTTATACATTTTTCCAAGACTGCCACTCTATTTCAACTTGTGCATTTTTCTTATTGTGGCGACTGGCTAGAACATACTTCACCCTTGCCAGCAAGCAAATAGTTAGAACTTTTAAAATGCAGATGTGGGTTTCAGCATTTGGACACAGATCCCAATTCCAGAGGTTTTTTCCTTATTCAGTACATAGCCAATTGGAACTTAGTGAATATACTAATAGGGCTTAGTCCATGATGCTGGGTAGATTATGGCCTTGTGCACTCCACCATGTGCTAGACTAAGAATAAATAGCTTCTTATCAGATGAGTTCACCTTTCTGGAATTGCACAAGGCAATGGTGTCTCTCATCTCCCTCCTACTCAATATGATGATAAAACCTAGCATTTGAGAAGTCCGAATGAATGGCAGAATCAGTGGCCTGGATATAGTACAACCCACAAAACTGCTGCTTTCAGAGATGATCTCTTCTTTCCCATGTCCAATCCATCAAGCTCTTTGCCTCTCAATGTTGGAGAACTTCAGATATATAGCTTATTCTCACATTTTACTATAAGATTTGAAAGGCACAGATCGTAAACTTGAAAGTATCATCAAGTCGGACTGATCAGCTTCAGCTGGAATTCCAGTTTAACTTTGCTGCATCTACCATATGGTAATTTGGCATTTGTATCTTTAATAATCTACTGCCGTTACATTATGATTAGAAACCACTTTTTTTTTTTTTTTTTTTGTGGGTAGAATTTACATTTTCTTGCTTTGGTCAGATTAATATTAACATGAACATTTTCCCACGTTTTCTATATTGCAGTTTTCTTTTTATTGCAGAACCAGTCCATACCCACTAACTGTTTATAGACCTTACACGCTATCAACAGGGTATCAATATATATTTAGATCAATAAATATGGCTGAATCAATTATCAAACAGTCATAGAGAAGTAAGGAGAATAGAACTACCCAAACTGGGACTGTATTATTAAATAGCTCTTTTACTTACAAGTCAACATTTTATCAGACTCATCCCATTATAACACCTACAGTTTTTGATAAATTTGTTAATTAACAAACTAATGTATACATTCTATACTGTCACTAATTTATTACGTAAGCCAGCATTTTATATTATTAGTGACACTAATCTCTAATTTACCTCACACTATAGTCATCAGAACCACTACAGCTTAATGCAGTGGTTCTGGTGTCTATAGCCTGTCCCTGCAGGCTTTTTAATATATACACACTGCATTTTCAGGGAAAAGACACTGTGTGCAGCACTGGGGTTAGTTCATATGGGTGGGGTATAGTGATATCACATGGTGGGCAGAGCATATAGAGGGAGGGGAGGGTGGGGGTGGCACAAATGCTCTGCCCACCATGTGATATAAAAAAATAAAATAAAACACAACAGGGTAATCCCTAAATTCTGGCCTGGTAGCAGGTATTTGTGGACTGGGTCGGGAACCCCTGCTCTAACCCATAACAAGTGTTGGTTTCTTGTAGTTTGACCTCCCCTTCGTGGTGGCCATCCTGGGGTGCACTGGCCCAGGGCCCTACTGCCAGTCTCTCCATGTATCTTTCACCCAGTTAGCTGGAAACCCTCCAAGTGGAACAGGACAGAGCCTGTGCAAAACAGAACATGAATCCAGGATCATAAAAGCCCATTGTGCATGTGTAAATTGGTGTGTTTGTATTTGTGCAAATAAATTGTGAGTATGTGCAAACTCGTGTGAGTGTGTAACTCACCCCCCTTAAACATAACACACCTCCACCATGATGCCAACACACTGGCTCGATTAGCAGCATGTTGGCATCTGAACCTATGCTAAACAGCACTAGCAGCATTGGCTAGGGAGGATCCATAGTAATGTAATGTTTGTGCTTGATTGAAGAGGTGTGTTTGGATGTTATATTGGCTGTTAAATGCAAATGTATATTTTGTTCGTAGCATTGGTGTTTGAGTTAAGAGGTGTTTTTGTATATAATGTTGGCGTTTTAAGGCATAGGTGTGTTTCTATGTAATATTTGTGTTAGATTGGAGGAGTGTTGAAATATGTACATACACAGCCATATACACTGTGGCGTACCTACCACGGTCACAAGGTTTGCCACCTTGGGCCGCCGTCATACCTTCTGGGCTGGTGCCCAGCTGCACCGGCTTGGGGCTGTGGTTACCGGGTCTGGCAGGAGGGGAGATTTGCACTGTGCTGCTCCACTCCTGCCTGTATGTAGCATTGCTGAGCAGTCTGACAGGAAGTGCTCACTGAGAGAGCACTTCCTGTCAGACTGGGAACCGTGGTGAGCCAGGTACAGGATGGGAGGAGTAGAAAAAGAGGAAATGGACACGTGGAGGGAAAGGGGAGAGAGAGAGGAAATGGACACGTGGAGGGAAAGGGGAGAGAGAGAGGAAATGGACACATGGAGGGAAAGGGGAGAGAGAGAGGAAATGGACACATGGAGGGGAGTGTGGAGAGAAGAAGGAATGGGACACATGGTGGGGAGGTTGGAGAGAGAGGGAGGAATGGGACACATGGAGGGAAGTTGGAGAGAGGGTGGAATGGGACAAATGGAGAGGATGAAATTTTTTTAATTACACTTTTATCACATTCATTTTGTTCTGTAAATATTCACAATGCTCTTACAACAGATTATTGAAATACACTTGAGCTTATTTAGCATTATTTCATTTTTCTCCCACATTGGAATTAGTGTAGGACCACCAAGATTGGGATGCTGTGAAGTAGCTGGTGGGCTTAACACAATATGCTCATATGGTAGAACTGAATTTGTTTGCTAAAATGGGTGATTTTAAGTAGCATCATAAAATTTAAAAATGTATTTGTATGTGTGTGCTTAATTCTTAATCTGTATTATGTATAAATTTTGGTCTCTATGGCAGCACCATTCCTGAGAAAAGCATGTTCTGGAAGTGGTCCCAACTTCATTTAAGTCTTCACACTATGCAAACCCTGACATACAGATGCACACACAAACACAGAACATACACTGACATATACACAATGTGACATACTGATGCACACAGACACACACTGACATATACACGTCATATTTTTTTTATTTGCAGCAACCCTCCTGTTAGCATACCTTTTGTGTCCTGGAGCATGGCTTACTTGGGCGTCCAGCTGCTGATGGTTGATGGGAGTCTGAGGATCTGCAGCAGGTCATTCATGCTTCTCTTACATTTGCTGCTTGTGCCGCCGCTGCCGTCGCCTCCTCCCTCCCACGCGGCGCTCTCTGTATGAAACTGGGAGGAAGTGACTAACTGTCACTTCCTCCATGCTGTCACTTCCTCCATGCTAATTGATACTACAGAACAGGGCTGCCACCAGAAATTTTGGGGCTCCTGACAAAGCACAAGGTCTGGGTCCCTGTCATAGTTGTCACCCCCGATGGTGGCCCTGTCACGAACGCACCCTACTCCAAGAGTGTGCGTGACGACGTTGTGGTGGTGAAAGGGTTTAACTTCACTATTTGTCTGCACTAGACTGGAAATAATGACAAAATCCCCCTTTTTACACCACCCACACTTAAACATAATATAACTATTGAATAATAGTAGAAATAAAAAAATCTACACGTACCAGAGATCTCTTACTAATGA